TAAATGATTTTGTTAAGGTAGAATTAGGGTGTGATACTAGATTCAACCATGTTTTGTTTAAATTCACATGTTTCTTAATAATAAGAAGAATTGTACCAATTATTAGTCATTCGATAAATTATGTATTATTTTTTTCGTGTTCTGTTTTAAAGAAAACTTTGTCAATTTTTTTATATGGATTGTGAGTTTAGATTAATGTTATTAGAACTGGACCGATCATCAAACCTGTAAAGAGACTGGGTCAATGGTTCTGAGTCAACTGGTCGGACCGGNTAGAAGTGGACCGATCATCAAACCTGTAAAGAGACTGGGTCAATGGTTCTGAGTCAACTGGTCGGACCGGCCATATAATAAAAAAAATAAAACATATATATCAAAATTATAAAAAATAATAATAATTTACGTAAAAAATATAAAATATACCAATTTTTTTTTTCAAAAAACAAAAAATTTTATTTTGATGAAAGGAAAAATTACAAGANCATATGAGTTCGATTATAATTCTTTTATATTTACATGCCAAAATGAAATTTTCACAAAAATTATACAAAATGAGTCATAAAAGCCACAAGTCGGCCTTCTTCACCCTCGAGGCTCAAATTGGAAGCCATCCGCCGGTGTGAACTCCACACTTGAAATATTTTCCCATAAAACATAATCCACTACCNTATATGAGTTCGATTACAATTCTTTTATATTTACATGCCAAAATGAAATTTTCACAAAAATTATACAAAGTGAGTCATAAAAGCCACAAGTCGGCCTTCTTCACCCTCGAGGCTCAAATTGGAAGCCGTCCGCCGGTGTGAACTCCACACTTGAAATATTTTCCCATAAAACATAATCCACTACCACCACCAACATTACCAGCACCCATCCATCACCACCCACTTTCGCTACAACCACCACCAACCATTGCGGCTAACCACCACTACACACAACAATGAAAAACTAGCCCACCACCATCGCCACCACCACCCCCATCGTTGTCATCCACCATCCAAAATAGTAAAAAAAAACTAGTCAAACTTAAAAATAATGAAAAATTAGTGAGCTAAAAATAGTGAAAAATAGTGAACTCAAAATCAATAAAAAATTGNGTGAAAAACTAGCCCACCACCATCGCCACCACCACCCCCATCGTTGTCATCCACCATCCAAAATAGTAAAAAAAACTAGTCAAACTTAAAAATAATGAAAAATTAGTGAGCTAAAAATAGTGAAAAATAGTGAACTCAAAATCAATAAAAAATTGTTGAACTTAAAAACAGTAAAAAATTACTGAACTCAAAAATAGTAAAAAAAAAATNTTCCTTGAAGTAGATGATGAAGATTAAGAGTCGAAGACCTTTAGTCTAGAACAGTAGGAGTGGAGACTCAGACGAAGGAAGAATGGAAATTGCAAATGAAGAAATGAGAGTTAGGGCAAAAATGCCCAAAACAGATATTTTTTTTTTTTTTTTTTAAGAATTGCANAAATTACTGGACTAAAAAATAGTTGACCACAATATACTATCCCACATGCAATCAAAACAACAAATGTGAACTCAAAAACATAATTAATGACATGAAAATTATACATACAAAAAACAATGAACTCAAAAATAGTGAAAATTAGTAAACTCAAAAATAGTTAAACTCAAAAAATAAAAAAAAAATAGTGAACACAAAAGCAGTGAAAAACAATGAACTCAAAAACAGTAAAAAATTGTTGATTTCAAAAACAGTGAAAAACAATTGTGATTTGAAATGTGAATCGTCGTTTTTAGCGAACAGTGCCCGACTCTCGCCTTCTTCTTCATTTCATCACCACCAATACATATAAATTTGAAATTTTCTATTATATTATTATCTCCATGTCTAGTTATGGTATAGGAATGATTTTTTCTCAAATTTTATCCCTCCTCACCTATCTCTCTCAGTACCTCTATGCATTCACTTTGAAATTCACGTCCCCCTTTTTCTCTTTCTCTCTTGGAGCTGTGGGATGGTGATTCCAGTGGCGGTTGTTGAAGTCTTGTTGGGAGTTTTCTTTTTTATCTCTGGCCTTGTCATAAATCTCATTCAAGTAAACCCAAAGAATAATTAATTAGAATCGAATTTGATGTGCCAATTTTGTATTTTTTTTCTTTCCAAGCTTTCAATATCGTTAAATAAAAACACAAATCTTCTCCATCTGCTTCCTACGTGAAGATAGTTTTCACCAACAAGTGGCGGGACCTTTTTTCAACTAAAAGAATTCAATGAGATATTCCTCCATGCACATATATATGTGTATAATCTTTCTCACCCACCTCATGCTTTTTAAACATCTCAACTTTCAAGAAAAGTAACCGTCCACTCAATTGGAAGGTCCATCATATTCCCCACTCACTCTTGGTTGTTACTTGTTAGACAATTCCAAGACTTCCCTCCTTTATTAAAATCCAAAAATCTGACTCATGCAAAAAAATTCGGCACCTACTTTATGCAAACAAAAAAGATTGGACCATTAACATTTTAAACACTATTAATTAGGCACCAGCTGTACTAACCTTAATTAAAGGATTTTCAGCTAGCAACCATATACAAAAACACATGAGAAACTGAAGGAAAGGGAAAAGGGCTGCAGCCTTTTATCGCCGTGTGGAGGTCTCCTTCACTTTGGTTTTATTGATGTGGGATTTCAATGCCTTGAGGCACTTCATAGTTCACACTTCTTTTTCTTTTTTTTCTTTTTTTTTGGAACTAAGATTTTTCTTTATTCATTTTCAATATATTTGTATATAATATTTAATTTTCTTTTAAAATATGGTGTTCTCAGAGGCACTTCCGCTCTCAAATATTTTTGAATTTTGTCGCTTTTGTGCTGCCGCTCTTGTTCCCGTTCCCTGTTTATGTGATCTATCATACAACTTTACTGAATACAACCCAACATATGCTTCCATACATACTTGAAAATAATATAAGGAACAAAAATTAATTTAATTTTCTCAAAAATCAATTACATAACCCCCAGAATGCTTCCACACACAAGTGAGTGTTGCGTGGGCTGTGAGTGTTGAGTTAATGGATGGGTGCTAGTATGTATAAGTGATGCTATTTAGGGAATTGCAAAGTTGATGTGTGTGAGCGTTGTGCTAGTGGGTGTGTGGGTGCGCTAATTTAAAAAATAGGAATCAATTGGAAAATCTCAATGCAATAATTTGAAATGCAACTTCAATACCATATATGAAAAACCTAATTTTACAGTCACTGTAGCCAAAAAAAAAAGAAAAAGAAGCAAAAATTGGTCATTACTCAATCAGGATGTTCTCTTTTGTCTTCTAATTCAGATATTGTACTTTTATGGTATTAAATACTCATCATCGGCCTTTTATTTGTATTGTAGTCCAATCTAATTTTTCTCTACTCCTAATATGACCAGCGTACCCTTTAGTAACTCACTTTAATTTTATTCTTTCTTATCTTTTGCTTCGTACTCTCTCCTTCTTTCCTTCGGCTCTTATCCACTTGATCTCTTTTGAAGCAAATGAAAACGATGAATAGAGAAAGATCATGTTGATGGCGGTGAATGTAGGAGAGTCCTTTTCAAACTTCTCTTCACTGTTGGTCTCTTTGTTCCAGTTTCTTTCATTCTCGCCGAGCTTCTTTCAATGGCGTCGGTTTGCTATGGTGGCAATTGTTATACACACTTTAGATTAAAATCTTTGGATTTATTGTTTAATGTGCATGTGTGTAAAGAAACAAAAAATGGTAATGAAGTTAGTTGCATATAGTTAAGGTGGATGCTATTTCTTTGTTTTCTAAATCAATTTTTTATTCATTATGATCACAAAAAATGTAAATATCAAGTTATATATGTTGCAATAATTCTTTTCTCTAGAATTTCACCTTTACGTGGTTGTCTCATTTAGTAAATGGTTGCATTATTTGGTAATTGTGGTCTGATGGTGAGACTTTTGGTAGTTTTTTTGGTATAAAAATAAATTGTGTATACAGGTTAAAAAATTTTCGGGGTCTCATTTTTAAGGGGAACTCTGCCAATTTTTTTAAAAGTATATTGAGGATTTATATTTTTGTCTAATGAATTTTTAATTTTTACTAATTGTTGTTTTGTTTTTTGTCTACGCAGTAACATCTTTAGGCACAAATATAAGATCAATTGAACCAATCATTTTGATTTGTTTCAACTTTGATTGGATTTTGAACTTTTGTTGTACCAATTCTTATATGAGAGCTGATATAGATGTTAATTAAATGCGTGAATTTGGAATTGTGGGTTGGATTTAATAAATACAAATCTATATGGATAAAGTTGAACTTTATTCTATTGTTTATATTACTACGTTGTTGTGGTAGTTGATAAATGATTTTGTTAAGGTAGAATTAGGGTGTGATACTAGATTCAACCATGTTTTGTTTAAATTCACATGTTTCTTAATAATAAGAAGAATTGTACCAATTATTAGTCATTCGATAAATTATGTATTATTTTTTTCGTGTTCTGTTTTAAAGAAAACTTTGTCAATTTTTTTATATGGATTGTGAGTTTAGATTAATGTTATTAGAAGTGGACCGATCATCAAACCTGTAAAGAGACTGGGTCAATGGTTCTGAGTCAACTGGTCGGACCGGCCATATAATAAAAAAAATAAAACATATATATCAAAATTATAAAAAATAATAATAATTTACGTAAAAAATATAAAATATACCAATTTTTTTTTTCAAAAAACAAAAAATTTTATTTTGATGAAAGGAAAAATTACAAGAATCAAACAATCAGCTAAAACTCTCCTAATTTCAACATAAGCCTCGTGACTATAATCCTTCAAAATGAAAAATTACAGTCAAACATTGCTTACAGATTGCTCACCATTCTTCTTCAAAATTAGAAGCCTTTTCCTTCTCAGAGTAGGCAACGAACACCGATCTTGATGCAGCACCAACTTCCCAACCACCGCTAGCGACCCATAGGAAGCCTTTTCCTTCTCAGGGCTTCCTGTTCGTCGCCTAGAATGGAGAAGGAGATCGAAGTTCGAGGGCCTTCACTGCCTATTCGTCGCCTGGAGAAGGAAGAAGAAGACTGGAGCAAAGATCGATTTGAAGACGAAGACGAACCAGATGAGTATTGTACTCCTATTCGTTGAAGCAGATGAGCCCTCCTGTTCCTTGAAGTAGATGATGAAGATTAAGAGTCGAAGACCTTTAGTCTAGAACAGTAGGAGTGGAGACTCGGACGAAGGAAGAATGGAAATTGCAAATGAAGAAATGAGAGTTAGGGCAAAAATGCCCAAAACAGATATTTTTATTTTTTATTTTTAAGAATTGCAATCCAACCGTCCGATTTGAACAAACCGTCCGGTTCACCGATTTTAGCAAAAGTTGGCCGATTCAACAGTTAACAATTGGTTCACTTGCCTAAGCGGTCCAACTCAAAACTGAACCAGTCTAAACCCCAGTTCACAGTCGAACCGGCTGACCTAGTCCGGTTCTGATAACATTGGTTTAGATTGATTTAAAATAGTGTAACTAAAAATAAATATATTAATTAATTGCTACTTGAAATATTTATATTACATGGTTAATGCACAATTTTGTGTTGCACAATACCATTAGGTATGAGTTTTGTTCATTTTTTTAAATAAACAAAAGTGGTTGTCGTGATTTGATATAATGGACTTGATTTTTTGGAGTGCTTGATTTTTATATTGTATCATGCCTTCAGACACAGATTATTACTAGTATATATAATTAGTAAGACATAACACAAAAGGTCATAACTTTGAATTACAATATCAAAAATTTAATCCCACTATAAGGTAATCAAATTTACATTATAAGTGTCTCAAAACAGTCATTTCAAATACAATNAAAATTGTTGATTTCAAAAACAGTGAAAAACAATTGTGATTTGAAATGTGAATCGTCGTTTTTAGCGAACAGTGCCCGACTCTCGCCTTCTTCTTCATTTCATCACCACCAATACATATAAATTTGAAATTTTCTATTATATTATTATCTCCATGTCTAGTTATGGTATAGGAATGATTTTTTCTCAAATTTTATCCCTCCTCACCTATCTCTCTCAGTACCTCTATGCATTCACTTTGAAATTCACGTCCCCCTTTTTCTCTTTCTCTCTTGGAGCTGTGGGATGGTGATTCCAGTGGCGGTTGTTGAAGTCTTGTTGGGAGTTTTCTTTTTTATCTCTGGCCTTGTCATAAATCTCATTCAAGTAAACCCAAAGAATAATTAATTAGAATCGAATTTGATGTGCCAATTTTGTATTTTTTTTCTTTCCAAGCTTTCAATATCGTTAAATAAAAACACAAATCTTCTCCATCTGCTTCCTACGTGAAGATAGTTTTCACCAACAAGTGGCGGGACCTTTTTTCAACTAAAAGAATTCAATGAGATATTCCTCCATGCACATATATATGTGTATAATCTTTCTCACCCACCTCATGCTTTTTAAACATCTCAACTTTCAAGAAAAGTAACCGTCCACTCAATTGGAAGGTCCATCATATTCCCCACTCACTCTTGGTTGTTACTTGTTAGACAATTCCAAGACTTCCCTCCTTTATTAAAATCCAAAAATCTGACTCATGCAAAAAAATTCGGCACCTACTTTATGCAAACAAAAAAGATTGGACCATTAACATTTTAAACACTATTAATTAGGCACCAGCTGTACTAACCTTAATTAAAGGATTTTCAGCTAGCAACCATATACAAAAACACATGAGAAACTGAAGGAAAGGGAAAAGGGCTGCAGCCTTTTATCGCCGTGTGGAGGTCTCCTTCACTTTGGTTTTATTGATGTGGGATTTCAATGCCTTGAGGCACTTCATAGTTCACACTTCTTTTTCTTTTTCTTTTTTTCTTTTTTTGGAACTAAGATTTTTCTTTATTCAATTTCAATATATTTGTATATAATATTTAATTTTCTTTTAAAATATGGTGTTCTCAGAGGCACTCCCGCTCTCAAATATTTTTGAATTTTGTCGCTTTTGTGCTCCCGCTCTTGTTCCCGTTCCCTGTTTATGTGATCTATCATACAACTTTACTGAAAACAACCCAACATATGCTTCCATACATACTTGAAAATAATATAAGGAACAAAAATTAATTTAATTTTCTCAAAAATCAATTACATAACCCCAAGAATGCTTCCACACACAAGTGAGTGTTGCGTGGGCTGTGAGTGTTGAGTTAATGGATGGGTGCTAGTATGTATAAGTGATGCTATTTAGGGAATTGCAAAGTTGATGTGTGTGAGCGTTGTGCTAGTGGGTGTGTGGGTGCGCTAATTTAAAAAATAGGAATCAATTGGAAAATCTCAATGCAATAATTTGAAATGCAACTTCAATACCATATATGAAAAACCTAATTTTACAGTCACTGTAGCCAAAAAAAAAAGAAAAAGAAGCAAAAATTGGTCATTACTCAATCAGGATGTTCTCTTTTGTCTTCTAATTCAGATATTGTACTTTTATGGTATTAAATACTCATCATCGGCCTTTTATTTGTATTGTAGTCCAATCTAATTTTTCTCTACTCCTAATATGACCAGCGTACCCTTTAGTAACTCACTTTAATTTTATTCTTTCTTATCTTTTGCTTCGTACTCTCTCCTTCTTTCCTTCGGCTCTTATCCACTTGATCTCTTTTGAAGCAAATGAAAACGATGAATAGAGAAAGATCATGTTGATGGCGGTGAATGTAGGAGAGTCCTTTTCAAACTTCTCTTCACTGTTGGTCTCTTTGTTCCAGTTTCTTTCATTCTCGCCGAGCTTCTTTCAATGGCGTCGGTTTGCTATGGTGGCAATTGTTATACACACTTTAGATTAAAATCTTTGGATTTATTGTTTAATGTGCATGTGTGTAAAGAAACAAAAAATGGTAATGAAGTTAGTTGCATATAGTTAAGGTGGATGCTATTTCTTTGTTTTCTAAATCAATTTTTTATTCATTATGATCACAAAAAATGTAAATATCAAGTTATATATGTTGCAATAATTCTTTTCTCTAGAATTTCACCTTTACGTGGTTGTCTCATTTAGTAAATGGTTGCATTATTTGGTAATTGTGGTCTGATGGTGAGACTTTTGGTAGTTTTTTTGGTATAAAAATAAATTGTGTATACAGGTTAAAAAATTTTCGGGGTCTCATTTTTAAGGGGAACTCTGCCAATTTTTTTAAAAGTATATTGAGGATTTATATTTTTGTCTAATGAATTTTTAATTTTTACTAATTGTTGTTTTGTTTTTTGTCTACGCAGTAACATCTTTAGGCACAAATATAAGATCAATTGAACCAATCATTTTGATTTGTTTCAACTTTGATTGGATTTTGAACTTTTGTTGTACCAATTCTTATATGAGAGCTGATATAGATGTTAATTAAATGCGTGAATTTGGAATTGTGGGTTGGATTTAATAAATACAAATCTATATGGATAAAGTTGAACTTTATTCTATTGTTTATATTACTACGTTGTTGTGGTAGTTGATAAATGATTTTGATAAGGTAGAATTAGGGTGTGATACTAGATTCAACCATGTTTTGTTTAAATTCACATGTTTCTTAATAATAAGAAGAATTGTACCAATTATTAGTCATTCGATAAATTATGTATTATTTTTTTCGTGTTCTGTTTTAAAGAAAACTTTGTCAATTTTTTTATATGGATTGTGAGTTTAGATTAATGTTATTAGAACTGGACCGATCATCAAACCTGTAAAGAGACTGGGTCAATGGTTCTGAGTCAACTGGTCGGACCGGCCATATAATAAAAAAAATAAAACATATATATCAAAATTATAAAAAATAATAATAATTTACGTAAAAAATATAAAATATACCAATTTTTTTTTTCAAAAAACAAAAAATTTTATTTTGATGAAAGGAAAAATTACAAGAATCAAACAATCAGCTAAAACTCTCCTAATTTCAACATAAGCCTCGTGACTATAATCCTTCAAAATGAAAAATTACAGTCAAACATTGCTTACAGATTGCTCACCATTCTTCTTCAAAATTAGAAGCCTTTTCCTTCTCAGAGTAGGCAACGAACACCGATCTTGATGCAGCACCAACTTCCCAACCACCGCTAGCGACCCATAGGAAGCCTTTTCCTTCTCAGGGCTTCCTGTTCGTCGCCTAGAATGGAGAAGGAGATCGAAGTTCGAGGGCCTTCACTGCCTATTCGTCGCCTGGAGAAGGAAGAAGAAGACTGGAGCAAAGATCGATTTGAAGACGAAGACGAACCAGATGAGTATTGTACTCCTATTCGTTGAAGCAGATGAGCCCTCCTGTTCCTTGAAGTAGATGATGAAGATTAAGAGTCGAAGACCTTTAGTCTAGAACAGTAGGAGTGGAGACTCGGACGAAGGAAGAATGGAAATTGCAAATGAAGAAATGAGAGTTAGGGCAAAAATGCCCAAAACAGATATTTTTATTTTTTATTTTTAAGAATTGCAATCCAACCGTCCGATTTGAACAAACCGTCCGGTTCACCGATTTTAGCAAAAGTTGGCCGATTTAACAGTTAACAATTGGTTCACTTGCCTAAGCGGTCCAACTCAAAACTGAACCAGTCTAAACCCCAGTTCACAGTCGAACCGGCTGACCTAGTCCGGTTCTGATAACATTGGTTTAGATTGATTTAAAATAGTGTAACTAAAAATAAATATATTAATTAATTGCTACTTGAAATATTTATATTACATGGTTAATGCACAATTTTGTGTTGCACAATACCATTAGGTATGAGTTTTGTTCATTTTTTTAAATAAACAAAAGTGGTTGTCGTGATTTGATATGATGGACTTGATTTTTTGGAGTGCTTGATTTTTATATTGTATCATGCCTTCAGACACAGATTATTACTAGTATATATAATTAGTAAGACATAACACAAAAGGTCATAACTTTGAATTACAATATCAAAAATTTAATCCCACTATAAGGTAATCAAATTTACATTATAAGTGTCTCAAAACAGTCATTTCAAATACAATGTTTGTGTACTAACATTTTTATACAAGTTGTAAGGGTAAGTTTAAAAGGAATTCAAAAGAGATTCTTCTTAATCCAAGCTTCCACAACCCTTTCATCATCCTATGCCTCGAGATGCATACTAGTTTTTGAAATTATTAGTAAGGGATGAGCAACCATAGTGTTAGATATTGATTGGGTCATGGACCCGAACCAGGCGTCCATGGTGGGTCGACCCAAATTAAAGAATGTCCAAGGGGACATATCTTTTGGAAGAATTCTTTACCAAGAGGTATTTTTTACCACCCAAAATATGTCTGTTAAATATTAACAGACATGTCCCTATAGGATGTGTCTCTTAATAACACCTATTGGTTACCTATATAAACCCAAGGCAATCCAATAAATGAGATATTTCTGATAAATAATCAAACATTAAAGTCTCCTACACTATTTCTCTCTCTCTCTCTCTCTCTCTCCCTACATAACATTGAAAGGCTTTTGTGCTGTGGAAACTCGGTGTTGATTCCTATTGTGTAACAACACCATACTGCTCGAGCAAATGAATAAAAGACGATTTTCATGTTCTAAAATACGTGGAACATCCTCAAACGGTTTTTAGGATTAAAGCAAACAAGGTATATTTTTAATCCTATACTTCCGCAATATGTATACGATTTCCAACACATAGCTTAGTAAGATATTCCTTTTCCCAGCCATATACAAAATTTTAAAATCCTAACATTTCGCAAATCATACAAATAGTAACGAAAGCTTTTTAAGTTCAAGTATACATACAAGTTAATAAATAGAGCATTTGTGAAAATCACCCAACATATCATTTGAAATATACGAGTTAAAAATCAAATATTTATACATTTGAAGCAAAACCATTATATCAAATATTATACATACAACGCATATAGATAATATAATTAATCAAACACCGATTTACTCATGAAACATCCATAGAGAACCTTTTAAGTCTTATACCCTTGGATCTTATTGTCCTTCTTACATTTTAAGAAGGGTGTACTTGTGATGCCGCACATGTCATCACTAAAAATCATTGTCATTACCGAAAATCATTACCATCACTGATCCCTCTAGGACTGGTAACCGCATTGACAATCCCATCAATGGGCCCCAACCGTCTTCTAAATATCTGTATGTCAGTATCGAGCATATACTTTTGAAAAAACATCATTATACATATGCATAAACGGATAAACCCTTTTGAAAACACATGTCACAATCTTGATATTTTATTGAACATATAGTAGTTGCACAATATTAAGATTTACATTTTCAAATCAATACACCCATTTTCATGAGAGTAAGTCATATACATTAAGTACAATATCAAAACATACTCAAAATCTCAAATCATAGATTTAATTAAATATCCATAACCAAAATCAAGTTAGGGTTTAAAATCAACAATACCAAAATTATCTTTATGTCTGTAAATTCACAAATTCATAGCATACCCAACATTAAACCAAGCTTTGTAACAATTATTTTGTCATTCAACATATATTGAGCTTCAAGTAAATAAAATACATGATATGTATAATATAAATACAAGAGAGACAAAAACCATGCCTAAAAAAAAGAATTACAAGCCACGTTCCTAGATTTTCAAATAAAGTCCAAGCCTTCAAGACCTTTTTTTCTCTTCTCTTTCTATGGCTTTAGTTCTACAATTCTAAGAGTGCTATTGGGCGAGAGGTGTGAGAAAAATTGGGGATAAAAATGAGATTATATGCCGAAAAAATCCTGCAAGTTATTTTTTTTATTTTTTGGAACAAGTGCAGGTTACTGATCTGTAAGCTAAAAATGCATTATTAGCCCGAAATTTTGGTATTATCCCTAACCATTTCAAATTGACACCGAAGGTCCACCCTATGTTTTTTTTTTTACTTTTGAATTCATTTTTAATAGTATCTTAACCTAAAAATATTTAGTTTTATAAGTTATCTCAAAACCAAATTCGAATTATATCTGAAATACTAAAATCACCATTTACACCTCTATTGGTGTACAAAATGAACTTCTATCCCCAAATTTTTCGACCTCCTGAATTCAATAATAATGTTAGTTTGCCATAAATTTTTTTATGAATTTACCAAGTTACCTTTATTAAACATAAAGGCCTTTGAAACTAATTGATCTGAAGGTTAATATGCGTAAAACTCAAATTTCACAATTATTATTTTAACAACGATTCGAAACTACCATCCTCATTTTAGAAATGCTAGTGAAGTAATATGAGTCATATTTAAATGAAAAAACGGGGTCTTTCAAGTCTACTTTTTTCGGGCAGATAAATAAAGCAAAAAATTTTAAGATCAAATTTTTATATTGATCCTTTAATTATGTGTTAGTTTCACATCACGTTAATTATTAATTTTTTTTTATAAATTTGACCAAAAGTTTTTCTATATTGCTCTAAAACTATGTAATTTTTTCACTTTGTCCCAATCCGTTAACAATTTTGGTCCAAAAGATAGTAGAGATTTGGGTTGAGGCAATGTGAAGTAGTTTGATTAGTTGAGGAGATACTGTGAAAAAAGTTCAATAGTTTAAGGGGTACAATAAAATCAAATGTATAGTTAACTGGGTCAAAGTATAATTTTCCCATTTCCTAAACACATGCCGCGTAAGACAACCCATTACCGACCCTGCCAGCAACTCCACCTTATCCTGTAAGGCGGTGTTTGGATCAACACAAGAGGATAGGATTGAATTTGGATTCGAACCCAATTTTATCCAAGTGATCCGGATTAAAGGATTATAAAGATAGAATTCAAATCCTATCCCATCTTTAAATAGATTTCATTTGATTTGTGGGTCTCATTCACAATTGATGGTATAACATACTAAAATGACCATTTCACCCTTATGCAAAAAAATATTATCTAATCATATACTATGTTTGTTATTTGTTATGGAATGAAAAAAAAGTCAAATCCCTTAGTATTGTCTTATTTACAAAAAAAAATATAAATCAATACCTTACGCATTTTTACAAAAGATTGTAATAAATATTTTGTTTATTTATTTAATTTAAATTGTACAATTCACTTTTAATCACAAATTATTTTTTTTCAATAAATAACAAAATTAATCTGAACTCAATCCAAAAAAAATTCAATGACCTAAATCCAATTTATTTTTCATGAATTTTAGGGCATTTTAATATTATTGCCTAAATTAATAGCACAAATCAGGTCAATTTAAAATATGTTACTTTAATTAAAATGATAATTTTTTTAGAGTACTTCTATAAAGAAGTAAATGGATGAGGGTAACATTAGGGTATAAAGTGTAAAAAAATCTGAGAATTATGTGCTAATTTATGAACATAAGAGGTAAAATGCAAAAAAACCGAATTGAGGGGGTATAAAATAGATTTTAATGTGGTTAATTGCTCATCTTCTCCGCAGATGCTTCGGCTTCAGTCACAGACACAGAGAAAGAGTGAGACGGAGAGAGAGAAAACCTTTTGAAAATATATATCTTCTTACCTCTCTATCTTCCCAAACAAATCGAGATGGGTCACCCGTGGAGATCATCTCTATCTTCTTCTCAAACAAATGGAGGTTGCAGATAGAAAAATTTATCCAGATCTGTGCAGTAAAACTATGCACAGATATGATACTTCCATGGAAACATCAGGCACATGTGAAGCTTCAAAGATCGATACACGGAGGTAAGTATTTACTGTGGAGGGTATTTNTCCAGATCTGTGCAGTAAAACTATGCACAGATATGATACTTCCATGGAAACATCAGGCACATGTGAAGCTTCAAAGATTGATACACGGAGGTAAGTATTTACTGTGGAGGGTATTTTTGATTTTTCATATATAATCCCACTTTACAATTTTGAATCCCCCATAGCAGAAGGGATTGTTCAATGGCCTGTAGAGGGGATTAACAACTTCAAAACCTACGGCCCGAGTTTTTCAAGAACAACGATTATCCCATCCAAAAAATTTAGCCAAAGCTGGGATTTGTGGGCCTCTTCACAATTTTAACCCAATCCTTCTGCTAATCCCTCTGAATCCTGCGATCCAAACACCACCAACAGGATTATAGGATAACTAAACGACTACTCCCGCGCTTTCAAGTCTCCATTTCCAACCAGATAGGCAAAGAGCTCTCTCTCTCTCTCCCCGTTGAATAAGCAAAGAAGACCACAACCGGCTTACCATTTTGCCCTCCAAAGAAATGGGTCATTACTCAGAGGCCCACATTTGCCAGAGCTTGAGCCGCCTAGCAACTCTCCGGCGTAATTCGCCGGTCACGATTTTTGGTAACCGGCGAAAGACCGGTGAGCANAAAGAAATGGGTCATTACTCAGTGGCCCACATTTGCCAGAGCTTGAGCCGCCTAGCAACTCTCCGGCGTAATTCGCCGGTCACGATTTTTGGTAACCGGCGAAAGACAGGTGAGCAGTTCGTGGAGGGAGTGTTGGGCCTGGCCCGTGGGCTTGTCGATTTGGGCCTCAAGCCCGGAGANCGGTGAGCAGTTCGTGGAGGGGGTGTTGGGCCTGGCCCGTGGGCTTGTCGATTTGGGCCTCAAGCCCGGAGACGTCGTCGCCATCTCTGCTCTCTCATCCATTATTCCGTGTTCTTAGCTCAAATTGGACTCTCTCTGGTAGAATGCTACGTTTGTTGATAGGCCTTAGTCCTTACCTCTGGTTTTTAAAGCCTACATTAGCAGTTATTTCCGTTGACCGTTGGCAAAATATGAGATTATCTGACAAATAACAGTAATTTGAAAAATAATTAGAAACGTATTAAGGGAATAAAATTATGAATTTTCTGTAGAATGACAATTGGTTCTCCATTTTGCCCTTAATATTTCCAATAATCCTGTTCATACGTCAGTTGTATTAGTTTATAATCTATTAATTCATTTATAATGATTAATTGTGTGATTATTAATTTGTTAAAATCATCGTGGTTGTCTTCATTTGGTAAATCTTGTCACACATTGGTCTATAGCTTTTGTGGGCCTTTTTCCACTTATTGTGAATTGATTTTGAGAAAAATGTGTCAATATCATGTTGCATATGTTAAAAAATTGGTGGGTGTCATGCAATGCCCTATGATAAATAACAATTTGTTTTATCAGGACAGTTTTCATTTTCTATTCAAGAAAACCTTGTATACTTGGATGCATGTATGTTATTAAATGGGCCGCATAAGAGTTTTACCCCAAAAGATGAGTCCTAAATGCAATATAGTTTCAAGCAAATCTCAATATTTGATTGTCTATGCTGTATAATTGATCACATTGCCTCAGTAAGAAATAGAAATATTGATAGATATCTAGCACACAGTTCTCTTGACGAGTAATGGTGGAGAAATAGAAATTCTATAAAAAATTTATGTATAGAATGATGTGGCCCAATAGTCTCTATTTACTCCAAAACTCATATAGACCAATTTGATGGTATTACCGAAACAATGTCATTGCCTCATCATTTGGCATGGGAATTATTGTCAAAAAATTCTGCTTGTGAATCATTTTCTTGCTTGTATTAAGGAAATTTTTATGGTTGTGATGCGTATAAGTATGTAGCCATGTAGGGAATGAGAATGTATTTGTCAACAACAATTTCGTAATATGTGGTTTTTATTTAAGAGATGAGAGGGAGGTCATAGTAGCATGCATCGGCAAATCTTTTGTAGCATTTTTCTCCATAATTGTGATTGAAACTACAAAATGAAATTTGATTTTCAGGACTTTTGACTTTTTAAAAATCGTTGCCATGCTAACAGATTGACAATTACTCCTGTATTGGACAGGAACGATTTTAGTAGTTTATACTTGGTTACATTGTATGTTATGTTTATATTACTGCTTACTCATTCAGTTCCGTTTCAGTGATTTGTACATGGATTGGTTGCTGGCTGTTGCATCTGTTGGAGGAATAGCTGCTCCACTCAATTTCCGAAGGGTAAGTAAAATGATCCCCAGATTTTGCTATCCTTTTTGTTTCAAGTAATATTTATTCATGCATTAATTGCATGGCATTCAAACAAGAGCTGATTGATAATTCCTAAAATTAGATTTGTGTCTTTGTGCCCCATGATCATCCCTGGGGCTTGAGAAAAGTATACAGGCTACTTGGTATGTCCAAGCAAGGAATGAACTCTGTTTGTTGCTTTGAAGTTTTTAGTTGTTCATATCTCCATCTGATAAAGAGTTTCCAAGTAATAAAGATGACTCTGCCTGTTTTTTTATTAAAATAGTCAGTCTTTGTTTAATATTTCAATTTCGAATTTCCTGCTGTTGCCTTCCTTCTAGAGTTCCTAAACTATAACAATAGGAAGCATAGACGTGGCATAGCCAACTTGGGATTTCCTTCCTGTAGTGGAAAATAAATGGTTGAAATTTGTTTACTTACTAGAAATCAACTCTCCTCGTGAGATGACAAGATCCAACCAAATACGAAACTTGCCAAATTAGACAATTTAAATCATAATATCATCACCCAGCTTCTTTTCAAACCCGCTTTTCAGTATTGGTATGCTCTTTCAGGCTTAGAATAACCAATATGACTGACTGCCAGATAATATGTTACATATAGCAGTAACTAGTAGTAACCCATTTCAGCTTTCAGAGCTTGGAAGAGGCAACATTGGCAATGGAATTAGTGAGACCAATATTGTTGGTGACTGACAAGAGTACTAGTTACTGACATTCAAAGTTCCAGACTGATTCTCTACTTTTTCTGAGGTGGCATGTCTTAATGGATGGCTCTACAGCATTCAGTAGCTCATCAAACAGTATGCACTTCTACTGGAATTTACTTAATTAGCATTGTATTTGAAATTTTGTTAAAGCCATTTCTTTTCTTAGTGTGCTGAAAATTTTCATGTTGGTGTTGCCTTATTGTCAGTATTAACTACTGAATCGCTTAAGAAGCCTTCTGAAAGATCTTTATCAGTCAATTACATTTGGGGTCCTGAGGGTGCCACTTTAATATGCTTCACCTCAGGTATGAGTTTTTGTTTTTCAGTTTTATGTTAACTTGATCTAAATTCTCCCTTTTGTTGGATTTTTTTTCTTGTTTGTTTGTGGGTTTTGTTGTTTTTGTGGGAGAGAAATGTGGGAACCAAATTATTCTTAAGTCTAAGTAAAGCTTGAGAAAGTGCATTGCAGAATATATAACTTTGAAGAACATTGAACACCATGTTTTCCATTCGACAGGATTGTGTAAATCTACTATTTTTTTCACAGATGAGAAATGCAGCTGATAATGGAAAGACTCTTTGTTTCCCCACTTCTTATGTACGCATATGCACTGTACAATAATAAGCAAACTCTAAGTTTAGGGTGTAAACAGAGGATGGTCCTTGTCTGAAGAAACAGGGGCTACCTACGTAAACCAGTAGCCAAGGTTTATTTGATCAAGTATGCATTAGGCATAATTTGAATTCCAGAGCCATAAATCAAGAACAACACCTTACCAAAACCTTCCAAATCAATCTTGCTAACTTCTACAAACAGCGAGAGGGAATGAGTTCAACTCTGAAACTAATATCTTCACAACAAAGGTTTGCGCTCTGCGGATATGGTTTTTGGTCTTATGTGAAACTATACAGAGTCATGTTTCAATTTGCTCATAACAATTCATTTAATTGATTAGGATATCTCTGCTAGAACAATAATGTTATGCTTGATCTTCTTACTTAGTTTTTCTAAGTAGAAACATGACTCAAAACGATTTCTTTAATTACTTAAAAAATTTGTACTAGGCTAAAAATTTTGCTTGAGCTTCTTACTTAATTTCCGTAATTTTTAGGAACCACTGGAAGGCTGAAGGGAGTTGTCATAAGCCATTCTGCTTTAATTGTACAATCCCTGGCAAAAATTGCAATTGTTGGTTACGGTGAGGATGATGTATGCCTTTCATGCTGAAAACTCTTCTTGTTTTGGTTTCTTTGTTGCTCCATTTTACAAGTTGCAAGAGAATGTCAACATAAGCAAAAAAATTATGGAATTAATAGACTTCGGAATGGAAACAGTTAGATTCTAAGAGAAAGCACAGTTGGCTGCAGATATTGCTCGAGAGAAATTGACATCTTTTTGTTTCTTCTTCTTTGTTGCATGGTTTTCTTGCAGGTTTATTTGCATACAGCTCCATTGTGCCACATTGGTGGAATTTCATCAGCAATGGCTGTGCTAATGGTAGGAGGTTGCCATATCTTGATGCCAAAATTTGAGGCTAAATCAGCACTTGAAGCCATAGAGCAACACCATGTGACTTCTCTGATCACTGTCCCTATGATAATGGCTGATTAAATCTCACTAATTAGGTAAACCATATGATCTCTTCAATTTTGAGGACTAGCACACAAGTAGACTTCCAAATAGGATTTGTTCAGATAACCTTCTTGTTGGATTATTCCTCCTGAAAGAAAAAAGAAGGTGAATAGCACAAACAAATTTCTTTTAGTAGTCATACAGTAAATCTATGCTAGCAGACAACAATCTGCTGTGCTTGTTATTGACAATGGATAGTTCAGGTGTTAGGTTGAAGAATGCTGCTAACTTAACAACCCCTGCCTTAACATTTCATAGGAAGAGTTAGAATATTTTAACTAAAAGAGTATTTTTTATGTGGGAACTCAATCCCACATCGACTAAACTTTCCAAGATACTTGAGTATATATATGTACTAGTGTTATCTAACATTTGAATTAAAGAGAGGTCTTAGGACTCTCACGTGGGCAGACTGGTGCGTCACTACCTTCTGCGCTGTGATTCTTTCATAAAGGGGCGCAAATCGTCTTAAGAGAGCGACCTAGTCTGCGCCTCACCCTGCAGTTCACATTATTTGCATCCAATTTCCAACAGGAAGATGGGATGTTTAATCAATTGTGTCAGATGATCTGACACTGATCCGACACATTTATTAATCGAAGTTCAGGTTGACACTCAAACCCCGTGAACTAGAATTCCACAATTAAGAGTTTAAGACTTCCTTCTCTTCAACTAACCAACCACTGATATGTTTTCCATAAAGTAAGAATCTACAAGATCCAAATGGTCTCAAAACAAAGCGGAGTGTCTGTAATTGTATAGAGTCTCAGACAATAATGGATCAAAAAATTGCAAAAAACGTATATACATCAGAACTATTCTCTAGATTGTACCAGGTAAACGTGTTTGTCAGGTCAAAATGGAGCTATTCATGTTTGACAGTAATTTGACCTATCCATTATTTGAGGTAGTAGGACGTATCATTTTTGGATTCATGTCTAGAACTTGTCAACTCTAAGCTACTAATTTCAAAATCAGGTTAACAAATCATGTCGAAAATTGACACCTCTCAATTTGTGGCTGAATCATTGAGACAGCAACTTTGGCAGACTACTACTGTTTCTTCGTCAACTCTCCCCGCTTGAATATCTTAGCATCATATTGTTTATGCCCATCTTTTTTCTTTATACAGGACCAAGGAAACTTGGAATGGAATAGAAATAGTGAAAAAGATTTTGAATGGAGGTGGAGATCTTTCAGTCGAGCTTATCAAAGCTGCCACTGAAGTTTTCCCTAGAGCTAAACTTCTTTCTGCTTATGGTGGTTTCTCCTACTTATAGAGTTAAATCTGTGCTGAACTTGTTAGTCTGTGCAATTTTGTGCATTTGGAAGCAGAAGAAATATTGCTTATAAAATAATAGCACTAGACCATAATGCCCACCAGGAAAAAAGAAAACATTATCCTACCACGTGAATACAGAGGTCCTTTTGGAGAAAATGATGAAGGTGAATGCAGGACCTGATGTATTAACTATTTCTTTCAGATTTATTGTTGGTATTCTGTTGGATTCTACCTCTTAAGTCTTCAAGTCATAAGCTGAGCAATTTGGTCAACCTCAAGTTTGTTCTGTTCAGCTCCTACCATGTAGAGTCATTTATTCGCTTCATGTGATCCATTGATTTGATGATAAATTTTGAGCTTTAGAGGTTGGTAAATGGAAAAGCTACTCATAAGCAGTAGTGGGTTGAAGTTCAACTTGTCTATTTTGTTCTCTAGCCAAACAAGCAGAGCATAAACATAGGTACCAGACCAATGCCTTAAAGCCCCTGGATTGAGCAAAACTGATTTTTCTTAGGCATTTTGAGTGGAGAAGAGGTTGGCAGCATACCATGGAAAGTTGACATTTGAAGTATTAAATATATCTGTATTGATCAGAATCGTAGAAAGCTCATTTTGATTTTATGTTCTGGTATTCTCTCTTTCTACTGGATGATGATCTAATTCTCCTCAAATTAAGAGTTCAAAATGTAATATTTCTTCAAATTTAGGGTTTTATATATTTAAGGTATAGTGATACAACCCTTTTAGGCTCACGAGTGAGATTGAGCTTACTTAATCTACACAGCTCTGCTTGATCTTTAACCAATCCAACTCAAATAATGTCAACTTAAGAAACCCAGCACTTGGCTTAGCTTCAGTTAGTATTCATGGATATTGTGTTAAGTTTTTTTCCATATAGTGTTAATCTGTTGGTCTTNCAGTTAGTATTCATGGATATTGTGTTAAGTTTTTTTCCATATAGTGTTAATCTGTTGGTCTTCTTCTGACTCCGCACTCTGATTTTATTTCAATTTCTACGGGCATGACAGAGGCGTGTTCTTCTCTAACTTTCAAGACCCTCTATGACCCAACAAGCAATGACTCTGGCCAATCCTTTCAACTTAGTAGTGATAAGAGATCCAGTGTAGTTAATCAACCAGGGTGTGTGTGTGTTGGAAAGCCTGCACCACATATAGAATTAAAGGTGGTTGTCGAGGATTCTTCTCATGTTGGGAGAATATTAACGAGGGGCCCCCATGTGATGCTCGGGTATTGGGGTCAAATTTCAACCAGAGCTTCCAATCCTAGTGATGCAGGTTGGCTTGATACAGGTGATATAGGGCAGATAGATGATAATGGTAATGTATTGCTCTTTGGACGTACTAAAGGTCGAATCAAGAGTGGTGGTGAGAATGTTTACCCTGAAGAGGTGAGCATGCAAAAATAACCTATATGCTTTATTTTACTGCAACCAATAACCGTCCCAATCACATGTCCTTTGGATTGGCCTGATTGAAGGGATGNAAAAATAACCTATATGCTTTATTTTACTGCAACCAATAACCGTCCCAATCACATGTCCTTTGGATTGGCCTGATTGAAGGGATGATGGCTAACAGAACCTGCAATTCTATATTCTATGTCATTTTATAAAAAAAAAAATAAAACGAAAAGTTATTGGGCTGAATATTCATTTTGTAGAAAACTTTTAAAATTTGTCTGCACTTCATCTTTATTGATTGCATTTTGTCTTGCTCCTCGCATACCACTGTATTAAACATTTTCTTTATTATCAGCTTGCGGGTGCCTGCCCCCAAAATCAAGTAGTACAAATGGGGGTTTTGCGGGGGAACCCCTTTAATTTCTAGTTTACTATGATCTGGAAACTCATTTTTAAACGAATTTTTTGGTGATGTAGTTAGAGGCTGTCCTGTCTCAACATCCAGGTGTTTCTGGCATTGTTGTTGTTGGACTTCCAGACCCTCGTTTGACAGAGATGGTAGTTGCTTGTATTCAATTAAAAGACAATTGGCAGTGGGCTGATTTGAGTTATGATCACCCAGCTGAAAATAAAGACCTAAGCTTGTCAAGTGAGATCCTCCAGATTTTTTGTAGAGAAAAGAATTTGACTGGGTATTTCTCCTCATAATTTATGACATTGGCTCTCTCTCTCTCTCTTTCATTTGCTCCTTATTCATATTTATATTATCTTCTTTTCATTTTTGCAGGTTCAAAATACCCCAAAGTTTTATCTTATGGAGGTACCCATTACTTTCACAACAACTGGAAAATTGAGAATAGACCAGATTAGAAGAGAAGTAACGTCTCATGTGCAGTTCTTGGCCAGCAGGCTATAACTACTGCAAATTCTATAATTGTGGCACCATCTTGAATGAGTCAGAAACCAAATTAAACAGGAAGATAATGTAAATCTCTTTTCCTGTCTAGCAATCTAAAAATAATATTCTTTTTTTACACCAATTCATGTGGACACTACTTTCTCTATGCATGCAACTTCATAATTTTGAGAGCTCTCAGTTACTTTCATGGTAGAACCCAGTAGCTTATTGGGTGGCAAGGCTCCCTATGAGATAACATCAAAGCAGCACCAGAAAAACAATTGCACCCTACGATGCCATGGATCAATCTATTTGATGCTAATTATTGATTATGGACTTGGGATTTTTGACCGAATCTTTCTGGTACGGTATTAAAGTTAGAACAGTCAAGTTTTAACTTAATAGCATTGAGTTATGACTTATGATCAATTTGGTATTGATCTCGACTTTATATGATTGATTATATAAAATCAATAGTGATTTAATAGACTTGTCTAAATTTTATTATACTTTATTATTATGTTTTCCTTCAACATATTTAACCAAGTTTTGGCCTTACGAAGTTGGAATATGATGAGCCAAAAGAATGCTGTACTTGAATAGTGAAGGATGGGGCAGATGATTGTCTTACTTTGTGGTGAAGGTAGGAACCCTATGTCAATGGTCCAACTATTGGTAAGAAAAAATAATTTTTAAATGTAATATCTCCGCTTTTCATCAATTAAAAATATGTTACATATGGATTTTTTTATTTTTTATTTATTTAATCAATGGTTGCAAATCACCAAACTAAAATGTTATGTCTGTGATGTCATAGCCTTATCATTTGTCAATTGAAGTGTCTCGTGATCAATCAATTCTCATGCTCTATAGAAGTTAGGGTAATTTGATATTACCCACACAAAAAAAAGTGTCACACCGCAAGTTATTATTTTTTTAGATTAAATTATACGTTTTAAATGTGAAATTATTATTATTTGGAATAACTTCGTGATCTATCATAAATCGATCATGAATGTCTCATGTTCAGTTGTAACTTCCCCTTTAAAAATTATAATTTATCTTCAAAAATTAGTAATTTTGCTTTTAAAAATTATAACTTTCATTATTTTTTTAGTTATTACTTTTGCCACAATAAAATATAGTTTAACTTGAAAAAATTAGGGTTAATTGAACTAGACATCCTTGAAGTATGATATTTGTCTCAGTTTGGTCTCTAATATTTCAATTATATCATTTTGTTCTCTGAAGTGTTGAATATGTTTCTATGTGATCCCTCAAGTAGATAATATCTATATTGCTAATAGTTTTGTATCATAAATTTGTTACGTGATATCTAAATATAGATAAAAAAAATATGTAATATGCGTAGCTTTTGACAAAAATTTGAGTAGTTTTTGACCAAAAATATGTAATATGAGTAGTTCTTGACCAAAATTTGGATAGTTTATTATCAAAACTGTACAATTTTGGTAACACTTTGACCAAAATTTGGGTAGAAATTTGGTCAAGAGTTATCTAAATTATTTGTTTGCTCATATTTAAGTAGTATGTGACAAGTTTATAATCAAAAATCATTTGCAATTTGGACGCTATCTGTTTGAAGGACCACATAGAAATATATTCAATATTTCAGGGACTAAAATAATGTAATTAAAATATTATGGGCCAAAATAAGACAAATTTCATATTTTGAGGACCTGTAATGTAATTAATCCAAAAAATTATAAATAATAGTATCTTACCGAAATAACGTACTGAAATCAATCTTCGTCACCAAGTTAACACGAGACAAGTTTCACCCTCCCACCATGTCAAAAAGCAAAAGAGGGACGATTTTGTTGGACTTCTTTTTCCTTCCATCCGCGTCATAAAAGAAAAATAGGATGCCCAGCAACACACATACTGGTCCAAGAGGTTCTTGCTTTTTCCAAAGTAGTTATACTTAGGTTTCTTTTCATTCCTTTCCTTTTTTCACAGGTCGAGAAGCTTACATGCTGCTTTTTCTTTTTCTTTTTTTAGCTTTTTTTTTATGGACTAGTTAATTTTTTTTTCCTTTTTAGTCGTTCCCTATTTTTTTTTTTTTTTTTTATCATAAGTCGTTCCCTATTAACTTTGAGTGATTGTGCATGACTTGGATCGCACCACTAAATCAAAAGCAACCCATGATTGAAATAATTTTCTTTCACGACAAATGCTTTGAAAAATGAAGGACGTTTTATTTGAGTTTTGTGACTATTAATCAACCACCGCACTAAACATTATAAAAGTCATGTAATAACTGTATTTTTAATGTTTCTCTCTTTTTTGAAAAGTAAGAAGAAAATGATTATATCTTGTACACAAAATTTAGATTTATAAGGGGATTAAAAGAAGTAAGTTATAGAAACATTTTCCCATTGTAGAATGTCCATTTTCTCGAAAATAAAATCCCATTAAATTACAATTTTGCCACTTCCTAAATACTAGTTATATCAAAAACCTGTCTTCGACAAGGGCCTCATGTCCAAACCCCAACAATCAGAATCAATCACTCTCTACGTAGGACTTCTTTTTCCTTCTATCCTCGTCATAAAAAAGAACATAGGATGCCCAGCAACACTTACTGTTCCAAAAGGTTCATGCTTTTTCGAAAGTAGTTATACTAGGTTTCTTTTCATTTCTTTGTTTTTTTTAACAGGTCAACAAGCTTACATGCTCTTTTTTTTTTTTTAACTTTTTTTTTTGATGGAGGAGTTAATTAAGGAAAACAAAGTAAGGGTGACAATTAAACATTCTATGACCCACTTTCCTTTAGCTTAAAAGAAAATTTATAAGTAATTCAAATGGTAACAGATATGAATTGTAAATTCAGATATCTTAAATTCGAATCTCAACAATCTCTTCTTGAATCTTGGTTATTGAGAATTTATCTCTCATAAATAACTTAGTTCAGACGTGAATTGTCTATCTTTGATCGAACTAAAAAGAAAATCAATATTACTTATAAATGTTAGTATCTGTAAAAAAAAATTTGATTTTCTAATTTATCCCTAATTATTATTATAAATTCAATTCTACCCTCATATTTCTTTACACTTATTTTTTTGTCTTTCATACCTATTAGACTTTAAAATATTTTGAACTCTTTTATTATTGGTATAGCTAGATACACTTATTTCACTTATCTCTATCACCTGCACGTACTTGAACAAAATTGTTTTACACCCCACATATCCTCACCAATATCATAATCTTTCCTCTCATGTCTACAAATTTTACTTGAACTAAAAGTCTTCTTCTCATATAACATTAGGCATCGAATTACAATTGTAACTCATTGTGTCCCTCTCTTTTATTCATCGACGACTTGGTGTGGCGGCTCGAGTATTCACCATCATTGAGGTTAGTTATTTAATTTCCGTGTTTGTTTCATGCAAGTTTGCTCATAAAAAAGTGCCTACTTACTTGCGCATCAAATAACAATTTGATGGTGAGCAGCTCTTACATTATCCAATTGAATTTAATGTTTTTTTTCTTGAGGTTATTTTCCTTGATTAAAAATTTTTCATACGATTGTTGCTTCCATGCATATGCCCTTGTACTAAAATACCAACTTGCTCGACAAATAACAATTTAATAGTTATAATGAGAAGTGGATAATGTGTGTTTATTTGGAACGTAATTTTAAAAAATGAGAATATTGAATATTTATTAACAACATCTAATAACTTTATATTAAATTTTATTTGAACAATATACCATTCCGTCTGTAACAGTAGGTTTCTTCATCCGCAGTTGAAATGGCGCTCATGTTGAATTCTTGAGATGAGTTGCTAACCCACTAGGCATTAAGGGAGCTGTTGTTTGTGTAATTTAGGCATTTGATAATATTTTATAGGCATTGTGTTTGAATTTGAATCCATGTGACCGTTTAGGTGATTTGATTTATAAATGTCAGTGACAGTAGGCAGCTTATCAAATTTGTTCTTATGCCACAAGTGAGTGACAATAATTTTTTCATAAAAAAAATTAAATTATGTGTAATTAAATTAAATAATAAATTATGTATTTTTAATTAAATTTTATTTTAATTATTGTCAAACCTAATTATTGATATATTCTACCCCTCTTCAAGTAGAAATAGGCAAATAGTAGGAATAGCAAGCAAAAGTTTTAGTATCACTAAAGTTCTTTATCCATTTGTGTCATCGGAGTAATAATCATACGATTCTCTCGCTACATGTTAATCTTAAAATCTCTAATTTGTGTGAGGGGCAGAATTTGTGTTTGTTTTCAATATTTGATAGTGGAATGTTGGGTCCAATCTAAATTTTTCTTTCTTATTACTTATTAGTTATGTTTTTTATTTGTTTGTAAAATTTGAATGCATGTGTTCAATTTAGATCTGTTCAAACTTATAAATTATCAAATTCCAATATTTTATTTTCTAAATTTCTCACACTATTTATTTCTCAAAAATGATCATCCAAGTTTATTCAGATTCATTGAAGTGGTTAATATTTACCATTAGCTTGTTATTGGATGGGATATGTTGAATTTAAATTTAACTATAGATTTAATAAATTCATCTCACGGTGGTGGTCGACTCTTTGTATAGAGTAGGTGATTTCTAAAAAGTAGCATGTACAATTGCTATTTAGCTTCATTATCCCATTCCATTATCCTCAATTTTTTTTGGATATATACAATTTGTTGGATTGTAGAATTGCTTGGTGATGAATTCATATCTTTGTATCTAATGTGATGAATTATCTACCTGATTACTCTCTTTCATTATTTATTTCTCTGTTTTCTTTCCTTTAATTTGTGATAATAGAAAAATCTATAGAATCTACAATAATTCTTCTATTATATGTAAACATGTGTTTTTCAACAAGTTCTTCTTCCGTTTGTGTCATAGAAGTAATAGTCCTACGATTCTCTCTTCGCATTTAAGTTATCTCTCTTCCTATATTTTTTGCTTACACAGATGCCATGGACTCTTTTGTTGCTTACTACTTTCCTATTATTTGGTTGGTCAACAATTAGATTTTGTTAGGTTTAACTTTTGTTTATAGTTGAATAAAAAATACAAGCACTTTGAAGTGTAATAAAGCAATTAAACTTATTAAATGGAGAAGGGTACCCTATCTCCGCGATTAACCAATAAAAAAACTAATAAGGAAATCTAAGAAATTATTTTTTACCATGTGTACTATTTTTTTCATGCATAAATTTTAATTTAGTAGTATTATAATATTGTTACAAGTTGCAGTAAAACAATATAAAAATAGTAAAATACAACTACAATTACAATCTAATCAAAATATAATAATATAAAGAAATCAAACCAACTTAATTACCCATAAATGTTTTAATCTTAAAGTTACTTTGTAATCTATCTTATCAATTTACATGGAATTTCCTTTGCCAGTGGTTGATAGTTGACAAGATACATTTATGTACTATTATAAAATTTTAATATCCATGTAAAAATTTTGAATTCTTAATTTACCTTTAAAAATTGCCAAAATACAAGATTATTTACCATTTAATAATTTATTTAATTTCATTACTCATATACTTGGCATTTTTAATAAATTTAACAAAAATTTCACATGTAATGCACATATACATTACTAATTAGTTAAAATGTGTATAAATTAATCTCAACGCCTCTAAATTAATGGATTATTATCAACAGAATTAATAGAAAATTAGACATCGACACGCTTGATCAAGAAGGCCTAGTCTAAGTTGGTGACATCAATTGCACATGGGCAGAGAGCAAGCCTAAAGTTTACTTATCGAAATTAAAAAAACAAAAATTGATTAAAGTAGAAGAAAAAAAATACTCATTGCTAATCATGGTTGACAAGATTGCTAATGGAGCAATGAAGAAACAAAAATGTACAAACATCTAACCTGAACTCAAGTGCACAACCTGACTTTATCATCAGGTAATTGGCTTTTTCTTCGATTATTAACCTTTACTCGATCATAAATTTTTGAGGGTGTAATTTAAATATTTATATTTTAACACATAATTTTAGGTTAATTTTTAGGTCTAACACGTAAAAATATTTTTTAATAATTAGAGTGATAATGAAATTCGAGTACTGGACTTCCTATTCTTCTATCACGTTAAACAATTATCTACTATAAAAATTTAATTATTTATACTTCTAAGAGTTATGACTCAATTGACCATTGGAGTGTTCCACTCAACCAAGTTTCCGATGATAAGTTGTTCATTTTTGCTCATTTTCAATATTTTTTGTGTAGAGCTTATTTTGCATATTTGTTTTCTTTTTCCCTATCTGGGTGCTCCTTTCCTCCCTGCTTAATTGCATATAAATATTACATAGATATGTAATTGTGTGACTTATTCTATAATACATAGAGACTAATTTGTAACATAGTAATCAACTATGCTTTTTATTGTTTTCTATGACTAGCATTGCATAACTAAATAAAGAAGTTGATGTTATGGGTGGTGGTGTTTATTATCCTTCTATTTAGAGATATTATTTATTGAAAATTGTGATCCAACCATACAAATCGAGTTGGGGTGGCACTATAACGAGTGGTGGTGTTTTCTATGAATGTTGTATCATTTTCATGTCATGTTATTCGACTCGTCTCTTTTTGGTTTTATTAGAGGTTTTAATTTGGTCTTTGAACTTTTATTTGTTTCAATTTAATTTTTCAACTATCAATTTCGTCGTAATTAAGTTCTTTCATCATTTTTATCGTTAGATCAACTGGAGATTAACTCAATCTGATCGATTTCAACATTGATATAGCAGTGAAAATGATAATTAAGAGACTAAATTGATACTATTGAAAGTTTAGGGATCAAAGTGAAATCAAAGACAAAGTTTAGGGACCCAACTATGATTTTTACCCTAAACTAGTAAATTCTAAATAAATTCATATAATTTTAGAAAATAAATAAGAAATACTTGTTTTTTTTTCTTTTTTATATATCAGTAAACAATTTATTGATATCTAACAATAATTTAATTAATTTATTAGTGAGGTTACTCAATCGTATTTTTTAGTTCGTATCATATCAAAATCATAGTCCTATTTAAATGGAAATAACAAGTGAATTTCGCATTTCTCCATCTATCAGATCAAAAAAAATAAAAATATAAGCACCTAAAAAGTGATTAGATACACCACGTAATATANAATTAATTTATTAGTGAGGTTACTCAATCGTATTTTTTAGTTCGTATCATATCAAAATCATAGTCCTATTTAAATGGAAATAACAAGTGAATTTCACATTTCTCCATCTATCAGATCAAAAAAAATAAAAATATAAGTACCTAAAAGTGATTAGATACACCACTAATAGACTTGAAACATTTTAGCAAAAGGGAAAGTAAAAAAATTTACATAGTTTGGGGGCAAAATAAAATAATTTTTCGTAAAATGTGAAATGGACATTAATAATTGGAGAAATGTCAAACTAATTACATAATTGAGGGTACAATATGAAGAACATGATAGTTGATGGAGCAAAGTAAAAAACTAATTGTTGAGGGGGTCGCAGTGTAATTTTCCCAAAAAAATAATATAAATGGACTTGAACCATTTGGCTTTTCCACGTACTACTATTCTTATGCCAACCAAATCAGCCAGACAAACAAGACCCAAGTCATAAGATCAGCAACTTACCAGATATACCCCTTAAAGACTACACCAATTACATGAAATCAATAATGGCAACTTCCGTTAAATAAGCCCATCATTCAGGTTCGTTTATTATACTTTCTCTCCCGCTCATTCCAACCTCGTAAAACAGTGGAAGTCTTGCCCCACCCCAACCCAATCTCTCTCCTAAGAAAACCCTAAAAACCCAGCACTCAAGAGGAGAGAAGGTTTTGCAGAGAAAACCCAGAACTTTAACATTCATCTGGGGATCTTCAAAACCTTTTTTGACCTTCAATTTCGGAAATTATTTGCTTCCGGAGTACCCATTTTTTCACTTGTAAGTTTCCTGTTCTCACTTTAGCTTCTCCTGTATGTCGCTTCTTACCAATTGAATTGTTAGTTAAACCTTAAAGTGATTAATACAGTATATTTGAGCTTTATTTTCACTTATTTTGTGATTTAAGTCCCTGGTTTTGATTGCTTAAGCTTCATTTGTGGCTTTTGTCTCGTCCATTTGAAGTGTTAATTGAGTCTGCAAATTATAAGAAAGCTGTATNTTCACTTATTTTGTGATTTAAGTCCCTGGTTTTGATTGCTTAAGCTTCATTTGTGGGTTTTGTCTCGTCCATTTGAAGTGTTAATTGAGTCTGCAAATTATAAGAAAGGTATTATTGAGTTCATAGTCAGGTAAACCGCTCTTGAATATTTGGTTTGATTGTTTGGCTATTATTATTCATTTTTTTTTCCAGATAATATGGAGAGTGTGGGAGTGTCAAACGGGAGCGATAATTCTTATATTGATGGGTTAAAACAAGTGGGTAGTGGTGTGAAGGAGAATGAGAACTTGGGGGATAAAATTTTGGAGGATTTCGATTCATATTTGCATGAAGAAATTAATAATCGATTAACAATATCAAGGATGGTGGGTGATTCTGTCATTAAGGGAATAGTGAATGCTGTTGAACAAGAGGCGGCCGAGAAAATCACCGCAAAAGAATTGGAAATGACTGGTTTGAAGGAGTCCTTGAAATTTTTTGATGCAGGTACCGATAAAATTGAGTTGTTGACATCACCATTGATGCATTATGGGCCAGAGAGTATAAATCGTGCACAATATGTTTGTAGAATGGATGCTTTTGTAGAGCACGACAGGATGAGCAAGTGTTTGGGTAGCTTGAGAAATGTGGCAAAAGATCAGTTTATGAAGCTCAAGAAAGAGATTGATGGCTTGAGAGGGTGTATTCCCATTAGGAGAATTGGTTCTGGTCAGGAGTTGGTGGGATTGAGTGGTATTCTAATAGAGAAAGACTCCGAAAGTTGGGTGGGTGTAGATAGAAGAATTAATGCTTTGAAGACCACTGTGGACACTATTTGTATGCAGGCGGATGATATGCTTCTGTTGTCCAAGGCATCACTTTGCAAGTGGCAGCAGGAGCAGGAGGTTCAAGGATTACTTGAAGCTATGGTGATGCAGAGTGCGATTAGAAGTCTTCAGGAAGAGTTTGAAGAAAAGTTGTGGGATCAAAGTTCTCAATCTTGTGGTGCTCAATGTGTGAATTGGCTTGAAAAGTTCAACGAGATTTCAAGTTTATGTAAAGAGCTAGATGCTATCGTGAAGTTGTTGTCCAATTCTGAAACTGGGCAGCTAATCTCTCATGTGTCTCGTGATGTGGATCATCTTGAACGGAAGACATTGGGCAATAATGGTTCAACTTCCAGTTCACTTAGTGAGGAGAATGGGAAATTGGAGGGGTCTAAAACGGATGTGCCTGAGAGTTTTGATGCTGCCCAGTTAAAACACCTTTCAAAGGATGATATGGTGACGAATTTTAACACAATGATGACGATGATGAGGAGGAGTCATGACTCTGCTATGCAAGAGCAGACTGAAAAATATTATATTCTCAAAAGGGAATACTTAAAGTTGAGAGATGTGGGCTCTTCTTTGCCATTCAAGAAGGATAAGGAATTTGACATATTGAAGAAAAAGATCCCAGAAGTCATTCTGAAATTGGATGACATTCTTGTAGAGAATGAAAAATTACTGGCTTTTGGCAACAATGCTGAGAGTCTTGGCAACCTAAAGGATAGGCTTGATAGCCTTCTCTCAGAAAATCGCCAGCTTAGATACTCACTTACAGATAAGAAGAATGAAGTGAAATGTCTGTCATCAAAAGTTTCTGATGCTGGTGAGAAAATCTTGCAGCATTCGTTGACCGAGGGAAACATGATAAAATGGATACAAAATCTTAACTCGGCTGTGGAAGATTCGCATGTGGAAGCTTCTATTAGGGAAGAGGTATATAGATGTGTTTCCAGAGAGTTGAGTGGCCAGATCAGATGTGACACTCAAGAATCAGAGATGGATTTTAATATGATGCCGGAGAATTATGGAATTATTCGCAGTGAGGCAGCTCACAATGCCAAATCTTCCGGAAAGTGTGCAGTTGAAGATTCAGATATGGAATTATCTATCGTGCAGGAGGTCTTGGGAGTTATGTTTGGAGAAGCCATGAAGGATGCTGAGGGCAAACTTGAGGAATTGTACGGGGAATATTTGGTTGAATATATAAGTCGAATTTCCCTTGAAACAAAAACATTGGAAAATGTAAATGAATTAAGGTTGGAAGTTACAGAAAAGGAAGGATTGAAGCAAGAGTTACTTTTACTGGAAATGTCTATGAAAGAAAAAGAGAAGCGTGTGTTGGAATTATCAGCTACCTTGCTGAAACAAGGGGAGCAGTTGGAACTAGCTTCTCAGGAGCTTAATAATTTAAGAGGCTATGAAAGCCAGCAGCAAACAATAATATCCAAAAGCAATAAGGAATTAGATTTGCTGAAGTGTCAATTGGAAATAGCATTGGAACAAAATGAAGTAGATAATGTGGAAATAGACAAATTGAATCAAAAGCTTGAACAAGCAATGGATGAGTTATCAGCTACCTTGCTGAAACAAGGGGAGCAGTTGGAACTAGCTTATCAGGAGCTTAATAATTTAAGAGGCTATGCAAGCCAGCAACAAACAATAATATCCGAAAGCAATAAGGAATTAGATTTGCTGAAGAGTCAATTGGAACAAAATGAAGTACATAATGTGGAAATAGACAAATTGAATCAAAAGCTTGAACAAGCAATGGAGGAGTTAAAGGAAGCTAATCAACAAAAAAAGGTTATCCTCACCCTTACCCAAGAGAAGCAAAGCATTTTATTATCGGTTGAAGCCAAGGAAAAGGAACACAAGAAGCAAATGGAAACAGTAAATGTTCTTGTACATGGGCTGTCAAAAATGATTGCTGATTTTGAATGTCGAGTAGCAGAGGATATCCGAAAAAATAACATCAGGTACAATATAATTTCTATTTTATTTTGTGTACGTTTTTATTGATCTATGGGAATGTACTGCCGAAATATTTTGTTGATCTTGGGACTTGGGAAGGTTGTATGCCTTAAAGTTGTTTGTGGTCAATCTGGTGGCTACTCTTTATTTTTTTTTTTTTTGTGGGTGCGCTAGAAGTGTGAAATTTCTGACCTTCATTCTGTTAGATACTATCTCTCCAACGTAGCGGATTCACTTCCTTTGTAAGTAATTTTACTGGTTTTTTGGGCAATAGTCCACTCCCTGTTGCTTTGTCTTTAATCCAGCTTGAGCCCGTGTTCGGTTTCCCAGATAGGCTACCATTAGCACCAATCTTGTCTGTCTATGTGTCTTTATGGTTACCTATTTGGTAGTAGGGGAATTTTTGGGATTGTAATTATTGGCATTGAAGAGAAGCTTAAGGTTGTGGTTGGAGCCTGACTAATGCAGGATGGGAAGAAAAAGAAATTAGAAAATAGAGAGAAGAAGAAAAAAGAATGGCGGAAGAGATTTACCTCATCCTCGAAAGGAATCGGTCAAGAAATACGTAAGTTTNAAACACATAATTCTAGATAAAGACGTGTAGACCTAAATGTACACATGATGACCAAGTGTTTGATGATTTTCTCTCTTCTTTTTCCAGAATTTTCTGAAGCTTTTTATGCTACCTTTTTTAATACTCTACACAGATTTAAGATTTTTGTGATTGTTGGATGGACAGGGAATGGACTTTGTGAGGGGTTCAAGTAGGCAAAAGGTTTAATAAATAATTTAGTGGAATGAGATGTGAAATAACGGTGAGTAGAATTGTTAAGAAATTGATATGTGTCATTTTTTGAGCATTTGAAGGACAGAGGAAGGATCAATATTATTATAGATGCAGCAGGCAACTGAGATTGGGCTGATACTTTGTTCCTCATGCTCTAAAGGTATCAACCTCTTTTTCCTTTTCTTTACATTTTTTATATTGCTTAATTTTGAAGCAGTTAGTTGTTTGGTCGACACATGAGAGGATAATTATATATCAGCTTACAATATCTGTAATTTCACAAGAAATGGTCACTTGACTTCCAAACTGGACAATGAGATTTACTTTTCGTAACTGGCTTTTTTTTTTTTTTTTTTTTTTTTGTGGTTTTTCTTTTTGGGTGCGCTAGAAGTGTGAAATTTCTGACCTTCATTCTGTTAGATACTCTCTCTCCAACGTAGCGGATTCACTTCCTTTGTAAGTAATTTTACTGGTTTATTGAGCAATAGTTCACTCCCTGTTGCTTTGTCTTTAATCCGGCTTGAGCCCATGTTCTGTTTCCCAGATAGGCAACCATTAGCACCAGCCTTGTCGTCTATGTGTCTTTCTGGTTACCTACTTGGTAGTAGGGGAATTTTTGGGATTGTAATTATTGGCATTGAAGAGAAGGTTAAGGTTGTGGTTGGAGCCTGACTAATGTAGGACGGGAAGAAAAAGAAATTAGAAACTAGAGAGAAGAAGAAAAAAGAAGGGTGGAAGGAATTTACCGTATTCTCGCAAGGAATCGGTCAAGAAACACACAAGTCTCAGCTGAGAATACTCAATTCTTATTTATAATCTCTTACATCAATATTTATAGGCCAAGTCTCCTACCAAAATAAAAACTATTATCCTAATAAAATTCTAAAATAGTTTCATAACCAAACTCTCAAATTCCAATCCTACTAAAACTCTATAATTATTTTCTAGTCAAACTCTAATTAATACTTCTAGTCATACAACTAAAACAAATAATAAAATCCAACTCTTCAATTAAGCTCATCCAATCCCTTTTCGATCTCTATCATGGGCACAAACTCAACTAGGACATATAACAACTGATGGTGTTCACATATAATTGCAAAATTTGTCTATATACATAGCCACTCAATATAAGAAGTCATTAATTTGTGATACTGTTTAATGGGTATTTATCCTATGGAAATATAGGACATGGGCACAGACTAGCTACACATATAAGAACTAATGGTGTTCACATATAATTGCAAAATTTGTCTATAATAAATAACCACGCAATTCCACATTATAAAAAGTCATTAATTTATGATACCGTCTAATGGGTATTTGTCCTAAAGAAGACTGCTGGGGAAGATGAGGATAATTAAGGTAGTTATCTATACTTCCTGTGATTGGCCTATAAAATTTGGTGATGGCTTTCTATTATGATCCAGTTGTACTTTAACATGCATAGTTAAGCTAATGGATCATACTAGCCAATGATTAGCTAACACATATTATTATTGTTTTTATTTTTGTCTTCTCAATTAACTTCAACATTAGCAGAAAATATAGGGATCATGTTCATCACACTCTGTTTGTCATGCCTTAGAAGTTGTTGGTTTTGTTAATCTATAATTCATCTCATCCTTCAGGACATCATCTCACTCCCATAAGTGTCGAGTGTGAGTGTCGAACACCTATTTATGCCTTAGTCATAGACATAGTGTAAGGAAGTGACCACACGTTCAAGTTTTGTCATGGACAAAGACAAAAAGTTTATAGGACACATGTCCTAGTGTGTTCAAGAAATGTCGGGTCTGGCACACATGTTAAATTCTTAGAAGTGTTCATGCTTCTTAATACATATGCCAAGCCATATTGCTGACATGAGCAGCTGGGCTAGCTGAATATTCTACTTAAAACAAAAACAAAGATAATAAAGAATTGCCCACGTTTCTTGTCTTAATGCAAGAATCCTAATCTTATTTCTCAGTCCTTGGGTCAGTGATAGAGATCGAAAATGGATTGGATATTTTATTGTTTTTGTATTATTATAGTATTTATGAAATTTTGTTTGACTAGGAGTATTAATTAGAGTTTGACTAGGAAATTATTATAGAGTTTTAGTAGGATAGGGATTTGAGATAGGAGACTTAGCGTATAAATATTGATGTATCCCTACTATTTTCATTTGAGAGAGAGATTTTGAATAAGAATTGAAGATTCTCTATGAAGATTTGAGGGTTTCTCGGCTAATTCCTTGTGAGGATGAGTTAAATCCCTTCCACATTACTTCTTTCTTCTTCTTCCATTCCTACATCAGCCCATGTCCTATATTTCCAGAATTTGCTGTGTTCAATGTGTTTGTGTCGGATTGCTTCTGCTTCCCGTACGTGTCTTTGCTTCATAGCATGTAGACAAGTTTTCGGGATACGATAATAAATAAATTGTGCCTACATTCTCAGGTTGCAATGTTTAAAATCTCAATTGAGTTCTCTTATCCAGCAAGCTTGTTTACTAAGAAATAGAGGATTGATGTATAAACAGAGGCTTGAAAGGAGATGTTCTGACCTTCAAAAGGCCGAGGCTGAGGTAATGAATTGAAACTTTTCATTTTTTGTGAAATGCTCAAGTTAAAACTGAAATGCGATATGTCATTTATTTTATTGGGAGTGAAAAACTGATTTACAAACCTATATTCCATTCAAGAACTTCATTACATATACTCTTGAAATATTTATGTGTATGTATGTATAAGTTTGAACACTGTTGCATTTTTCAATTTTGAATATCCTGTCTGTTTTGGGACATTCTTGATAATATCATTTAAACAAAAGCTGTCAGTAGGCAGTTGTCATTCCATATAGACATTTTTTCAATTGTTTAAAATGGTTGGATTACAAGTTTAGTTGTCAAATTATCAAATATAGTTGATTCCTGGAAGAAATTTAGTTCACCTAGGCTAATGACATATTTATAGCCTTACTACTTTTTCGATAATAAACACAAATTTTATTGATAACCAGAGATCATTACAAGAAAATAAAAACAAATGTGAACAAGCAGTCCAACACACAAAAACAAACAGAGACTGTTGTAAACAAAACATCATTGGGCATTCTACAAGGCATACACAATACCTTCCAACTTAACTTAATACAAAAGAGAGGAACATCTTTAAACTCTTTAGACATTGAAGCCCAAAAAGATGCCAAAAAATAAATTCTATCCCATAGACCCTCAAATTATAGCCTTACTACTTTAGTTTTTTGCAAAAATGTTTTAGTCATTCAAGCCTACCCGGGCCACTTCCTTTAAAAGATTAGGGGCAATCATGCCTTGATTGCCGCCCTCTCTCTCTCTCTCTCTCTCTAACACACACACACACACACTCACTCATTCACTAACAGGCGTGCATGTCCTGTCCTCAATCAGTTTCACACTCATAACTTTCCTAAATGGATTCATCTCTAGTTTCTTTTGTCTTGGACTTGTTCCAAAGCTTATTTATTTCAGCATCTTTATTTTGCTGCAAGTTTTGTGCATTATTCTTTAAACAGGCTGTTAATTTTTTTCCCAAAGAGGAAAACAGAAAATGACTTAAATAGGTGGCACAGGACTACTTCCCATAAAAAAAAGAGCTTTTAATTGATAGGCATTTTTGGAGTGGACATATGGTTGAAGCTCTTCGTCATTTCTTCACTTCTGCTATAGTTTTTAGCAAAATATTACAAGTATCTCATTGATAATATCTCCTTAGCATATGGAGCGATTTTACTTTTTTGGGTATGTGCTGTTCAGATTCTTTTACAGTGGTGATTATCGTGAGTAATCACACATTACATCATTGTTTCTCCAATTTCCAAACTTACAACATTTAAGGGAGTCAAAAAATATATAAATTACTAATTATGACAGATGGTAGTCTTCTCTCTCTCTCTCTCTCTCTCTCTCTCTCTCTCTCATAGAGAAGATGATAGTACCCTTGTACTTCGGATCTAGTGTAGCCCATAAGATAAGTTCATCTGAATATAAAGAGTACAAGTCTATGATAAGGATCCTGATGGAACCCTGAAAAGAAAAAGTATTGAAACAAAATGTCCAATAAGGCACTCAAGCTGCCCCATTTCATTCTTCCATTATTATCAGCTACCTATCAGAATGCAAATAAATATATTTTCCTTTCATTATGGACTAGTATTATGGCACGGACGCATACCTGTGGCTGTTGTATTAGTAAAATTTAATACAAAGAAAATCTTAGAACACTACAGTTTGTTTCCCTGTTTAGAATTGCTCTTTTTCATGTTTTATCCGAGTTCTTTGTAGTATGGATATATTTTCTTTCGCAAATTCTGGTTTCCATTTGCTTACTGGATATTGTCCTTGGAATTTAGGTTGATCTTTTGGGGGATGAGGTGGATACGCTTTCAAGCCTCCTTGAAAAGATATACATAGCGCTTGATCATTACTCTCCAATTTTACATCACTATCCAGGAGTAAGATTGTTTTACTTCTGTTATGATTCTCTGCATCTCCGTTTCTCTTTCATAGTTTGGAATGTATTTCAATTTCTTTGCCTCTAATCTTATATGATTGTGGTTGTACTTTTTTGTACAATCATTTATTACTCCCAAAATGTTAGAAACTTGCATGAGGATGAACATCTTCATTCTATTTTCAAGTTCACCTAATGGATCCCCAACATCTAGAAACATATGAAATCAATATCCGACATTTTAATGTTCACTCTGATTTTGGAACTTGGAAAAACTAGAGAAAGTATTACTGATTGGTATTTTAGCTCCACTAAATTGTCCAACAAATATCTCTTTTCTGGAATCTACATTTTCTTATCTTGATCTTTGTTCTACCTTTATCTTTTGTTTGGCTGCTTTCCTACTGTTCCAGATTTGCTATGCCCTGAAAGTCATTTTGGTGATCTTTCATTCAATTGCCAAAAGTTCTTACACAATATCCAACAATTGGCACATCGAACTCTTGTGTGACATATGATCTTGTGTTAGAAGCACCAACCAAGTGGACATACTTAAATTATTTTAGGATGTCAGCTTGGTGGTTGATCAAAATAAATAAACAATATATTTGGGACCTAAGAACCAAAATCATCAATGGAGGTCCTCTTTTGCAGCCAATGTATTTCGCCTAAACATGCAAAAGAAACTTGGATTTCTCAGCATGTGTTCTGGAAGAGTTCAACCTTGGACTACCAGTAGTCCTATAGATTCTGTGTTTTAATTACCATTGAAGTTCCAAAGTTTCCAATATGTACTGCAAAAAGGTATCCACTAGGTAATAGTATTTGACATCCAGTCCTTTATGCTCGGATGCTCAATATTGTTCCTATAGGCCCGAGATGCATTAGTAAATCAACTTCTAAAATAATTTTATTTCAATGGAAAATATGCATCTAGAAGGAGGACAAACTAATGTCGTATAGAAACCTTTGATACAAAATTCTCTATTATACAATTGCAAACAGTTAGTGTTTATGATAGGAATCAGATTATATTTCATAATAGTAGGCGCTGACGTAGGGATTAGAAGTTATTTGTCATTTTGCTTTTCAGGGACTTAGTTGTCATTTTGACTATTTATTTATTTTAGGGTTTGTGCGCTCCTTATATATATATATAGGGGATATGATATTTGTTTTTGCAGACTTTGATTATTATTGAATACTGATATTGCTTGCTTCTCAAATTCTTTCTCTTTTCTTCTTTTCTTCTCATTTCTAATTCTTCTATTCTTAGTCTCCATCAATTTGGTATCAGAACTAATACGATCTACATCAGTTTATGATTGTGGTATGTCTAGGGTCTGATTCTACCCTTCTATCTGATTGTTGTTGTCCTTGCAAGTCTGGGACTGGCTGTGCTGGAAAAAAGAGAGAATGAAAGCACAATATGTGGTCACATCCACGTAATCTCCATATGGTAACATAACAGTCCTTGAATTTGAGGCTTAGACCATTAACCTTTAGAATTATTAATGTTTCAGGTGGTTGTGACAAAAGACAAATTCTTGAGTGATGGATGCTTTGTCATAGGCTTCTAGATGCTTCTTCTTCTACATTTAATTCTTCCATGTGTGTTGCAATGCACAAGGTTCTATCATTGCGGGGTTTGGAGAGGGTTAGATGTAGGCAGTATTACTTTTGCCTGTAGAGAAGTTATTTTCACAACTCGAACCCGTGACCTCTAGATCACAATGGAGCAACCTTACCGTTGTGCTAAGGCCCGCCTTTCTAAGTTATAATACACAATCCATGGATTAAAGACTTGACCTGAGTTTTATCTGATTTGGCACCTGCCACTCAATTACTGTTCTATGTTCCGTGTAAACTATGAGTCGGCTTGTGGTTGACTCGACGACATCTCGATCGAGTTACCGATTCATTGTCATGCCCAACTTCTTCTTCTATCTATTTTTTGGTGGGATCACCTAATGTCGTTTCGCGACGCTGCAAATGATATGTTTTAGTACCCTCTGAGTGTATGATAGTATGGCCAAAACAACTGCCTTGGAACATAGTGCAATTTGACCAACTTGACAAACAAACAAAAAGAACAAGTTTCTTCTCGTCCCTCATTCTGATTCTTATTTCAATAAAGATCAGCATGTGAAGTCAAACCATTTTTTAGGATTATTACACGNCGCTGCAAATGATATGTTTTAGTACCCTCTGAGTGTATGATAGTATGGCCAAAACAACTGCCTTGGAACATAGTGCAATCTGACCAACTTGACAAACAAACAAAAAGAACAAGTTTCTTCTCGTCCCTCATTCTGATTCTTATTTCAATAAAAGATCAGCATGTGAAGTCAGACCATTTTTTAGGATTATTACACATGTGATCCATTTTTGGTTGCTGGAAATTTAGGCTTATAGTTTAATATTTAAGAATCGACTTAGGTAGTTTTAACAACTATTGAAGTTATTCGAGAGGTAGAGGGAAGCCAAATTAATTTTAAATAAAAAAGTAAAAAAAGATATGATAACTTATGATTCAACAGAAAGTGTGATTCTTAATAGAGTATAATGGCGGAACAGGATTTGTATTTCCGACTGTAAAAATGTAGGGATGAATATTCGTTGAGTTGAATTGAGTTGATCCTTCTTTGCTAGGATGGTTTTTCACTTGGGTTGGTACTTTCTTGCCCTTTTGGGAAGATTTTGCTAATATCAGCAATATCAGAATTGTGTGAGATATTTTTTTTTTCTTTTCTAACTCTTGGTTTTAGGCATCTTTGTTCAACATGCTTTGCATTTTGCATTGTCCTGTGTACTTGGTTTATCATAAATGAAAATTAGTTGAAAGATCTAATAAATTATGATTAAACAAAAAGTATGACCCTTAATAGAGCACAATGGCGAAAAAAAAATNTGTGTGAGATATTTTTTTTTTCTTTTCTAACTCTTGGTTTTAGGCATCTTTGTTCAGCATGCTTTGCATTTTGCATTGTCCTGTGTACTTGGTTTATCAGAAATGAAAATTAGTTGAAAGAGCTAATAAATTATGATTAAACAAAAAGTATGACCCTTAATAGAGCACAATGACGAAACAAAATTCGTGTAGCCAATCCCAACAATGTTACGACAAGGCTTTGTTGAGTTTGTTAAGAATAGTAGGGTAGTATGTGTAAATTATTAATAGTAAGAAGGTGTATGTGTAATTCTTATTATTATAGGTTAACTATAAATATAAGTGATGTATAAGAGTTAGGTTAAGTTTTGACCTCTAGCCCACGGTTCAAGTCCAGACTGGATCAATCCCGGTTTGATCCTGGTCCAGCTCCGGTTTGATCCCGGTTCAGCTAGATTCAAACCAGTTCAAACCGGTTCGTTCTGTTTTGTCTTCGGTTCAGTGGTCCAGTGGTCTCCTGTGACCCGGTTCAGTCTGTTTTAAGCTGGTTCAAGCTCGGATCANCGGTTCAAGTCCAGACTGGATCAATCCCGGTTTGATCCTGGTCCAGCTCCGGTTTGATCCCGGTTCAGCTAGATTCAAACCAGTTCAGACCGGTTCGTTCTGTTTTGTCTTCGGTCCAGTGGTCTCCTGTGACCCGGTTCAGTCTGTTTTAAGCTGGTTCAAGCTCGGATCAGTCATTTTTAGATCGGTTCAGGCAGGATCTTTCTGTTTTTACTCCGATTCAGCGGTTCAGAGGGCTAAACCAGTTGATTCAGGCTTCTAGTGGCCTTAGCAAGGCCGGTTCAGTGGTCCAGACCGGTTTTCCAGTCCGGTTCAGGGCTCTAGCAGCCTTAACAGGCCCGGTTCAGTGGTTTAGGCCGGTTTTCTTGACTAGTTCAGTATTCCAGCAGCCTTAATAGGCCCGGTTTAGTGGTCTAACATCTTCTTTTCTTTTGGTTAGGCATTGCAGCACTNCTAAACCAGTTGATTCAGGCTTCTAGTGGCCTTAGCAAGGTCGGTTCAGTGGTCCAGACCGGTTTTCCAGTCCAGTTCAGGGCTCTAGCAGCTTTAACAGGCCCGGTTCAGTGGTTTAGGCCGGTTTTCTTGACTAGTTCAGTATTCCAGCAGCCTTAATAGGCCCGGTTTAGTGGTCTAACATCCTCTTTTCTTTTGGTTAGGCATTGCAGCATTTCTTGTTTGCTATTTGCTGCACTGTTATGGAACCCAAGCAAGACACTAGATTGATTACTATTACTTGAGAGGAGTATGTCCAGTTCCTATCTCAACAACAGGCTGTTTCATCTTTCTCCACTGCTACTTTGTCCAGTCAGGTATTGCTGTCACTTGTTTATTGTCCTCCAATCGCAATCCCTGAATCATAGACTCTGACGCTTCTGATCATATGACTGGTGCGTCTGATATTTTTTTTACTTATCAGTCTGCTCTTNACAGGCTGTTTCATCTTTCTCCACTGCTACTTTGTCCAGTCAGGTATTGCTGTCACTTGTTTATTGTCCTCCAATCGCAATCCCTGAATCATAGACTCTGACACTTCTGATCATATGACTGGTGCGTCTGATATTTTTTTTACTTATCAGTCTGCTCCTTCCACACGTAGTGTTACTCTTGCTAATGACACTTGTTCTAAAGTTTCTGGTTTGGGGACTACTAACTTGAGTCCTGATATGTCCTTATTTTCTGTATTATTTGTTCTTCAGTTTTCTTTTAGTTTACTTTCTATTAGCAAGATTATTCGTTTTCTCAATTATTTTNCGTAGTGTTACTCTTGCTAATGACACTTGTTCTAAAGTTTCTGGTTTGGGGACTACTAACTTGAGTCCTGATATGTCCTTATTTTCTGTATTATTTGTTCCTCAGTTTTCTTTTAGTTTACTTTCTATTAGCAAGATTATCTGTTTTCTCAATTATTTTGTAACCTTCTATCCTTGTTATTGTGTCTTTCAAGATCTTAAGACGAAGAGGAAGATTGGTTCGGGGCATGAAGCTGGTGGCCTATATTACTTTGATTTTGATTCACTTACTTGGGCTCTACAGACTTCGTTGTCTCCTTTTCAGTGACATTGTCGTCTTGGACATCCCTCTCTCCAAAATCTGAAACGCCAAGTTCTCAGTCTTAGTTCTGTGCCGTCTTTGTCTTGTGAAGCGTGTCAACTTAGTAAGCATCACTGTGTCATTTCATTCTCGAGTCAATAATCGTGCGTCTAGTCCATTTGAGTTGGTACATTCTGATGTATGGGGTCCAATAAAAAATATTTCATCTAATAAATATCCTTATTTTGTGTCATTTGTGGATGACTATTCTCGTGTGACTTGGTTGTTTCTGATGAAAGCTTGGTCTGAATTATTCTCTATATTTGAGACCTTTCGTAAGGAAATAAAAACTCAGTATGGTTGTCGTATTTGTATTTTACGTTTTGATAATGCTCGGGAATATGATTCTGATCCTTTTTCAGCTTATCTTAATAAAGCTGGCATTGTTCATTAGACTTTCTGTGTTTACACATCTCCACAGAACGGTGTTGCTGAACGTAAGAACCGTCATTTGTTGGAAGTCACCCATGTCCTATTATTTCAGATGAATATTCTCCGATATTTTTGGAGTGATGCTGTTCTTACTGCTTGTCACCTTATTAATCGTATGACATCCTTTGTGTTAAATGGGCATAGTTCGTATTCTGCCCTTTTTTCTGGTAAGCTCTTATTTTTCCTGACTTCTAAGGTTTTTGGATGTGTTTGTTATGTTCATAATTTGGGTCCTAGATTTGATAAACTTGACTCTCGAGTTATCAAATGTGTATTTCTTGGTTACTCCCACACGCAGATGGGGTATCGTTGCTACAGTCCTTTTCTGCACCAATACTTTACTAGTGCCGATGTCACGTTTGAAGTATCTGTTCCATATTTTTCAGCATGTTTTTAGCCTTTAGATCTGGACTTTGGGTCATCTTTTGTACCATCATCTCTTTCCTCATCTTCAGATATCTCGTTGCCCATTGTGTTACCATCTACTTTACCTCTCTGTGTCTACTCTCGTCATCCTCGCTCATCGATTGAGGTGCCGGTACTGTCTTCCTTGCCGCCTTTTGATCTTAGTACATCAGGTAATTTAGACTCTTTACCTATTGCTCTTCGCAAAGGTACTCGTTCGTGTGTTACTAATCATCTCATTTCTCATTTTGTTTCATATGATGCCTTGTCTCCTGTCTTCTCTTGTTTTACTTTCCAATTATCTACTATATCTATTCCTAAGCATGTACAGGATGCATTATCTGATCCGGGTTGGAGGAAAGCTATGAAGGAGAAGATGGATGCCTTACATCATAATGGGACTTGGGATCTTGTTCCTTTACCTCTTGGTAAATGAATTGTTGGCTGTCGTTGGGTGTATACTGTTAAATTTCATCCAGATGGTTCTGTGGAGTGTCTCAAAGCTCGGCCTGTTGCAAAGGGTTTTACTTAGACTTATGGTGTTGATTATAAGAAAGTTTTTTCTCCTGTTGCCAAAATTTTCTTTGTTCGTATTTTGATTTCTTTGGTTACTAATCTTGATTGACCCTTATTTTAGTTAGACGTCAAGAATGCCTTCTTATATGGTGACTTGGTTGAAGAGGTATATATGGAGCAGCCACCTGGGTTTACTGCTCAGGGGGAGTACGGTAAGAGTGTATGTCGGTTAAAGAAATCTTTGTATGGTTTAAAGCAGTTACCGAGGGCATGGTTTGGTAAGTTTTCAGATGCAGTTTTAGAGTTTGATCTTCTTTGATGTCAAACAGACCATTCTGTGTTTCATAGACAAACAGATGCTGGATATGTCCTATTGGTGGTCTATGTAGATGATACTGTGATTACTGGGAATGATTCTGAGGGAATTGCCAAGTTAAAAACATTCTTACAGGATCGATTTCATACTAAGGATTTGAAAAAATTCAGGTATTTCTTGGGTATTGAGGTAGCTCGATCTAAACAGGGTATTTGTTTATACCAGAGAAAATATGTACTTGACATGCTTGAGGAAGCAGGTTTGCTCGGTTGTAGACCTATTGATGTTCCTATGGATCCGAATTAGAAACTTTTGATGGATGATGGTGCACTATTGGAGAATCTAAGTCGGTATCGCAGATTGGTTGGGAAACTCAATTATCTCACTATTATTCGATCGGATATTTCCTATGCAGTCAGTATAGTAAGTCAGTTCATGGGGTGTCCTAGAGTACCACATTAGGATGCAGTTACTCGTATTCTGCAATATCTCAAACGTGCTCCTGGACTTGGATTGTTATATCGAGCTAATGAACATCTTAGAGTGGAAGGTTTCTCAAATGTTGATGGGGCTGACTCTCCTTCTGATCGGAGATCAACCACTGGTTATTGTACTTTCTTAGGAGGTAATGTTGTCTCATGGAAAAGCAAAAAATAATCTGTGGTAGCAAGATCCAGTGTAGAGGCTGAGTATAGGGCAATGACGCATATGACGAGTGAGTTGACTTGATTACTACACTTCTTCCAGGAAATTGGGTTTCCAGTTCAATTTCCTTTACAGTTCTGTGACAACCAGACAGTTATCCATATCGGTGCCAATCCTGTGTTTCACGAGAGAACAAGCATATTGAGGTTGATTGTCATTTTATTCGGGACAAGATAGTAGCTGGGGAGATTACAACTCCATTTGTGAAATCTGAAGATTGGCTTGCAGATATGTTTACCAAGTATTGAGCCGTACACGTCTTATAGCTATTTGTTCCAAGCTTGGATTATATGATATATATAGTCCAGCTTGAGGGGGAGTGTTAAGAATAATAGGGTAGTATGTGTAAATTGTTAATAGTAAGAGGGTTTATGTGTAATTCTTATTATTGTAGGTTAACTATAAATATAAGTAATGTATGAGAGCTAGGTTAAGTTTTGACCTCTCTCTTTCTCTCTAATATTGTGTTATGTTAATTCATTAAACTTAACAGAGTTGAATTGAATTTACATTTCTTTCCTAAGAAGGAAAATGTCACCTGGGTTGGTACTTTTCTGCTCTTCTGATAAGATTTTGCAAAGATCAGGAGCATCAGAATTCTCTGAGATACTTTTTTTCTTGGTGTTAGGCATCTTTGTTCAGTATGCTTTGCATTCTGCATTGTCCAGTGCACCTGCTTTATATAGTGCAACCAAATAGTTTATGGCCAATTGTGAATTTGGGATTGTGGTTCCAACACTGTGGAGGCCTTTTAAGATGTCAAACCTTGAATCTGCTGAGTGCAAGAGAAGTGGCATACTTAGTACATGATTGTGCAGTTTTATACATTGTCATATATCTGCATTTTGCATGCAAGATGTTTAAATTCTGTCTATTTACCAATAATTTCTTTTCATCGTATGCAGATTGTTGAAACCCTTAAGCTGGTTAGAAGGGAATTAAGTGGAGAATCTATCAAGGCAGTTTGATTTTCTCTTTGACTAGGTAATGGTTCTCATATCATGAACGTTTGAAGGGTGAAATATCCCTGCCCCCCTTAAAATAACAAAAACCATGCGTCAAACTCGCCAACATATTAAGTGCCTACTTGTTTGACTCCGGCAAGCATAAAATTGATATCCTCAGTCCTATTCAGAACATGGAATGGTGAAATTGAAGATGTCCAGAGAACACTTGGCAGCACTATCTTCTCTAAACCAATGAAAGAAATACCATCATGAGGGTAAGGCTTGCTTATAATCTAATGTGATGGTTTCATCTATCTATTTTTATACCAAGGAGAGACGCTCTAAATTGGCTGTTAGCTGTGGTCTTTTGGTGTTTTTGTTGCATTGCAGTAATTTGTTGAACCCTTTCTGTTTTTATGAAGTTACATTAACCAGGCAAAGGTTTGACATTTTTGAATTTGGATCTTACTGCTACAAAAACAGCGTTTTATGGTGTACATCCAAAACCTTCAATACTTAAGCTGCTTTTTGATAGAGCATGTGGACTAAAGAACCCATTGTTCAGAATGCCTTGGCTTTTGCAAAGTTTATGGGGCTCATTGCCAATTGCAATTAATAGATGCTGCTAAAACCTACGGAAATGAGGCATTAACTTGCAATAGATTGTCGTGTTCTTCTTGGTTTCTCTTTTAGTTTGACCAAAGTAGAAAGCTTGCACAAATTAGGAGGCATTGTGCCTGTTTTTCATGTGTTAATGTGTTATAGCAAAATGCTAAGTGAACCATCCAAAAGAATCAGTCGAGGAAACATGTGAGGCTGTGATCTGGGTTCTTCTGACATTCAGTAGGCCAAATCATAAATCATAATACAACACCTAGCCTGGGGTTTGATCATGCAGCATTCCCTTACATGGTTGCCGCAAATTTACCTTCAGCTTTGACACCTACTGTCATAAGCTAGCCTCTGTCTTAATTTATTGCATGTAGATGAACATTCATATTTAAGAAAATAGGTTGATTGAAAACCTGATTGTGTCTTTCATTGATGTGGTGTTTCTTTGCATTCTACAGATATGTTGTCCTTTGCAGCACGGTGTTCTCTTACCCTGGAGAGGAAATTCTCACCATTTTATCAATATTTGTTGTAAAATCAAGAAGAAAAGAGAACAACAAATTCTTGCAGGGCTGGACCGGACTAGAGGTATTCGATTTCTATTGTCGTCATTAGTGGCAAGGGAAGAACTTTGAGTGGGGAGAGGGGAAGGCCATCCAGCTATCACAAACATAGTAGGTGATGCAGGAGGCCTCTTTGTTTCAGTACACGTTTTACTTTTGTCTCCAGTAGACAGAAATTAGAGGTTTCTTGGTTATTGATAGTTCTCTCACAATTTTGTTTGTAATATTGTATATGACCACATTGTAAACTTCCTACTTCCTGTGCAGTAAAATGAAAAAAATAGGCTCCTAAATGGCCTTTGTGAAGATTTATATTTTCGTTTAATTGCTTTTTTTGTGTGTACAAGCATTGTTGTCTTTGTATTGTCTGGAAATAGGACTATTCAAAACAATTGGAATGCAAGTGCCTACTACCAGATTCAGATCCATTAGACTACTTTTTTTATTCAATTTTATTTGGGCAGATTTCCATCATGAATGAGTGCAGAACTCCTTTACATACATGGAGTCTTATTTGAACTCATGATAAGTGATTCATTAAAAAAGGAATCTAAGAGTAAAGCAACAGAAGGGGATCTCATTCTTTTTAACCAATCACATATTTTGCATGTTTTAGCAGTCAAATTGGTAGCCTTTTTAGACGATACTGGAGAATTTAATGGCACATTTATTTATTTATTTTTTGGTCAGACACAATTACAGGGAAGACGGACGACGAAATTTGAACCCATGATCTTAAGGTCTAACAACGAAGACGATGACCATTAGACCAACTACTAACCTCACACATTTTCATTTGTCTTCCTTACAATACAAATCTTGGATCATCTGTTATATTGAGAATTCGTGTTACACAACTTGTGAATCTGATAGTTGTACCAACAAACTGAGCTGGAGGGTCCGGGTTCACTTAATTCAATTTGGAGGATAATTAAGTTAGCAAGTGTTTTTAAGCTAACTATTTTTTTTCATGAAATTAATATGGGTGGTTGTTCCATCATGTTCCACTCATTCAATTGCATAGTTCCCATGTCTATTTGGGTTAGTGACTTCGTTTTTGGAAGGACAGTAAAGCGATATGAAATATTTTTTTTTTAATTCAACGATTTAGAGTGTCTGAACTAACTTATGTGTACTCGATTAATTCCCTTTTTAATTCGATCAAATAAAATATTCATTTGTTCAAATGACGCGCCACGACTTTGAGTTTAAGAACTAATTTTTTCAAATGGGTTAAAGATTACTTATAAAATATTCTTTTTTTAGACTATGTTATAGCTGAAAGTGTTGGGCACAATGTATGAAGCTTTAATTGATTTGACTAAACTACTACTTTCTTAAGCCAACCATATTACTTAGATTAATGTAGGTGGTTGCTCCATCGTATTCCAATCATGCATTTGCATGAATGGAATCTCATTAGTCAACCCAGGCCACTTGGGTTAGTCTTTGCGTACGAGGCTATGATATCGACCATTAACTTTTGAAAATTATATAAAAAATGAGTCTAAATAGTTATTTATAGTCGTTGGTTATAAAAATAATAAGATAAAATAATAAAGTTTTACCACATTTCTTGCTTGTAGGTATATCGGACATGAATTGGTGCACCTATCACTAAGTGACACGTGGTAAAAAAAATCACCATCGAGAGTATTCTGTCCCCCAAGGAGAGCTGGCCGAGCTCCTCCAAGTCCCCTCGGTGCTTGCAGAACCCCGGGAGGAAGTTTGGCCTTGGGACTGAGCAATAATAATGATCATATATGTGGGCTTATTGACGTGACAAGTAATAAAAAATGATTAATTGTATCGTTATATTTATATTGAGGTCCTCACTGAATTTTGAAAAAATCAATCAAATGCATGATTGTTACTGATGTGAACTCATCGAAAGATATACTTTTTAATAGTCGGTGCACATCTTTTAAATGTTCAACGAGACTCGTTAAATGGCTCATTGAATGCCCAATCTCTCGAGTTGTGTAATCATTGTGGCGTTTAACCTCAAGTGACCGCTGGCCTCACTTAGTGCTAGTAAATGCACGACTCGAGGGAGACAATAGTCTTTCACAAATTATCCCTATGGGTGTCCGATCTGCTAATTTCATGTGACTTACGAGGTTTTACGTCATCATCTCAAGGCATAAAATGACCCAAATGGTTGAATCTTAGGTACGTAAACACAACTTAGTCTATACTTTTGTTTAGGCTCATTATCTTCTTAGCCTAAACATCAACCGACTTAGGTATCGGAGGGAATGCGTTGAATTTCTTCTAACTTTGTTCCTTTTTTCAAAACTCTCATCACAGTTCAGTTAGGTATCGCTGTCTTAACTATTGGGCAAGATTCAACCCGTAACTACATTTTAAGCATCACTTTACTATTGCAAAAAACAATAATACAATAAAAATTATTTTTCAGTACTTAATTAAATATGCTACGCCAATTTTATTTCACAGTTCTAAATTAAATCATTCTCTTTCCAATCTAACAACTAACAGTTAGATCTTGGAGAGGTTCATGATATAAAGTCAATCTTAAGTTCAAAACATTTCCATAAATAGGTTATTTTTATCATTTCTTGCACTTTTGTTTTCTATGGGATTGTCGGATCATTTTCAACATTTGGGTAATTCTCTCGATACATGCACGACCAACTTAAATGAGTGCAAAATATTCAAATTTGGTAATTTCAAATTTGTAGCGTAAACAACATGACCAATTTACCTAACTTTTTCAAATTTTCGGTAAAAAGGGGTCGCCAAATAGAGAGATTGTGATTTATTCTAATGGTGCAATTTATACTTTAATTAACTTGTGTGCTAAGTCTACATAACCATCTGTCAAAAACAACCATGTTTGGTGGCCAATCTAATTCAAATCATGTTGTTCAATGGACCATACTATATAATTAGAGTATGATTGCCCAACGCTATCGCTTGGTTTTATCTTGAACTTGTGACACTCCACAAGGGCTGCTTTAGATCTTCCAACATGCTAACAATAAGCGAAACAAAAGATTGAAAAATGTTTATGACAATACTCATGAAGCTATGTATGATTTCCAACCACAATTTGAACGGATTGGATAGATTGAGAGATTCGAATTCAAGTCTTTTAGATTGAAAACCTAATTCAATATTTAAAATTAAATTTATTTTACAAATTTTCAATTAAGTGCGATGAATAACCAAAACGAACATTACTTAAAAATTTTAGCACCTCTCAAAAGTAAGTTAAAAATTTAAGTAGCTAGGTATCTACTTATCACTAAATACTGAATTGCTAGTGAATAAGAATTTTATGAACTTTTAATAATAAACCAATTTGCTCTCGAATATTTTCATTTTAATCTATCTCACACCCAATTTTCTACTACCATCGCTTACCACCATTGTTGTCACCATGATCATTATCCCCACTTTCCTATCACAACTATCATGCTACCACCTTTGGCGCCGCCACCATTATTTATATTGTTGTCATCAACCCGTTACCACCACTATTACTACTTTCCCATCATAACCACAATTACCACTATTACTGCTGCCATCATTAATGTTTTAACCAAAATCATTGTCGTCACCACACTACCCCCACCATTACCTCTGCCATCCCCAACCACCAATATTGCTAATTCTTCCTCCACCACTATCATCTCCATAACCCCTATTGCGTTTGCCACCACACCCAACAATTGCTATTACCCCCACACCACGACAGTTACCACAACCACCTCCATCCATCACTACCTTCACCTACACCACGTCATCCCACACCAACACCACCATTATCAATTCCACCCTCACCACGTCCATCCACTCCACCGCTACCGGTGCTTGTCGTTAGCTATTGCCCCATTGCTAACATCATCACCACCAACATCAAATGCAGTGGTACTGGTTGTGGTGTTGGAGGTGGCGATGGGCAAAGTAAGAAAATAATAGTTGATAAAATAGTTTGAATAAGTATAGTTATTGAAATTCAGTAAATACTAAACAGTTTTCATTTTAAAAAAAATTAACATTCAGTACGTAAAATTAAGTATTCAATTTTTAGTAATTAATTTTTAGTTTAATTAAACAACACCTTATTCATCCTTTTAAATGAGTTGATTGAACAAGTACTTTCTTAAGTCAACTATATTTCATAGATTAATATTAGTGGTTGCTTCATCATATTCCAATCATGCAGTTGCATGAATGATACCTTATGAGTCAGCCTAACTACTTGGGTTTGTCTATGCCTACAGTGATAATTAACTTTTTTGATACCTTATTGAAAATAAATATTCAGACCTAATTCTTTCAATACATGTAGCCCATCCATACTACATAACCTGAACAATTACTATAATAAATATATGATAATGGCCCAAGAACAGAAATTTGAATTGCTAAATTCCAATTTTACAGAATAGTCTCGTGTCCAGCGTTCAACTTATCTACTCTTTCGGGTTTCCCATTAAAGGATATTACCAAATAGAGAGATGGTGATTTAACCAATGGTGCAATTTATTATTCAATTAATTAGTCTACACCTTGTTATCTATATAATAAAGTAGGTAGAAAAATTTGTCTTAAATTTTTTGAGGTTCAAATCGCTTGATGATTATTGATCTGACGGTGTTAATGTAAAATTCTCTCTCCCAATTTTTTGAACAAGATTTTCATTCATTTTACAATTCTAAGACTTTTATTTCTCTTATAACTCTCTCTCTCTCTATCTCATACTACATATTAATTAAGTCGTGAATTATGATTCTATATAATTAAGGATTATTTTTAAAATTTTCAAATAAACAAATAGACCTTAGATACAGATTTTTTGGCGTCAAAACGAGTTGAATGATTATAATATAAGTCATATTTTGTATTGAAATAACAATACTAATATTCGAATGGTATAGTAGGCGAATAATATATATATATAATTTGTGATAGATCTGTATACTAAGGGAGCTAGCATTGTTTCTCTTGAACTTTTTGCGGGTCAGATTGTTTTAAGATTATTGATCAAATGATCAAAAATACTCCTCCAAATTTTTTTTCCGCCCAAAAATTACAATTTTTTTTCATTTTACTCGATTATCGGTTCAAAGTGATTATGATTAGAATTCGAATTAAACTGAATTTGATTGTCAAATATAAAGTATATATTTTTTCTTAAACTTAACTTTTCTGGAATTTTACAAGTATTAAAAGTTAAAGTCAATTTGAAATTGGTTATAAAAATAATAAAAAATAATTTAATTAAAAAAAATT